ACTCACTCGGAGTCTATTGAAAGTAATTTTGACATTTTTTATCTTATGTTTAACACTCTATTGGTTTATGTGTATAAAATAATGAACAAAATCAATATCTAATCATGAATTTCGACTTGTGGTTTAAATTTCAACAAAAATTGCCTTATTTGTATCGCTAATGCAATTTATAAGATAGAGGGATCATGGTAAGCGATGGAATGGTAGATGCGTTTTTATACCGTATATGACTTGTCAGCTGTTTTCAACCGGATCATAATATTAATGTTTATACTGAAATTCGAATACAGTACTTTCCTCTCCAACATTACCAGCTACTGGGTTTAGATAACTATTTATACCTTGAGTTTGATATCCATATCATTGTTAGAAAGCATTTAAATTATCCCACTGTTGGCATTTTCGATTTAACTTGAAGTAGTTTTTATTGGTATATGTGGATCCCTTTGATGTGTTTACATTTCATAAGTTTCTATAGAATAGATAGATTATCAATAGCAGTGGAATCCGGTTGATCAAAGGTTAACGCACGAAAAGTATTACATTTCAATTCTGGTGTAAACATCAACATTGTGATTCAGGCCCACCTAGATGGTGGAACCTACACACGATGGAAATGGGATCCTGTATTCTATTTTATCTATTTTATAAAAAAGCTCGGAAAAAAAACGAGTGTGTAGACACAGTTAGCATAATATGCTCATATACCAACTAGGACTAATCAAAATTCAATGAAGAATATTAATATAGACATTACTACTGTTATTACCATTCTACATCAGATTATTTCCTACGCGATTTTTCATTACATGAGTTTGGCTACTGAAACTTCTAGCACACAACACTCTTGGTCAAATGTTTCTTTTCAGCTTATAGTTCCGGAGAAATATATATATATATATATATATATATATATATATATTCATGGACTCATATAAGATATCCAATCCCCTTTAATGAATACAATACGGTAGTATTATGCCAGATATCTATGATCTTAAATTTTAGTCAACTTTTATTTTCTACTTTCCTATATGACTTCCATTGATAGTTTACATTTATAATATACAATCAATAAATTTCACACGATAAACTCAATAAGTAATGAAAGAGAAAAATCCTAGAATTTATGAATGTTCTATATTGTTTATCTTCATATATATTTTATCATCTGAGTATCTAAGTAAAATTAATCGGCAAATTCAATGATTTAAGCATAAAAATACAAAAAAATTATTTTTTTATTTTTTCTTAAAAAATAGCTGATATTGAATACATTCAAGTGTATTCATGTTTATGTATAGTTTCCATGTGAAATATTAGCCTAATACATATTGTAATTGTTTACAAAAAAGTATTGCCTCAATATAGCCATAATTCACATGGATTATAAGGGAAGATAGATAGTGGCTAGCAGTGGAATCCAGTTTGACGCGTGTTTCGTCCTATTTTCTGCTTTCCCATATGACATCTATTGGTATTTTACTTTGTGATAGAAATTACATTTAAATATATATCCAGCTGACGAGTCCAAAACAAGATGAAACGCGCGTTCTAGATTCCACCGCTAGCCACTATTCATCATTCTATATTGTTTATCTTCATATATATTTTATCATCTGAGTATCTAAGTAAACTTAATCGGCAAATTCAATGATTTAAGCATAAAAATACAAAAAAATTATTTTTTCATTTTTTTCTTAAAAAAGCGCTGATATTGAATTCGTTCAAGTGTATTCATGTTTATGTATAGTTTCCATGTGAAATATTAGCCTAATACATATTGTAATTGTTTACATAAAAATACTCTTAGAGATATTTTGATGCATAATTAAGTGTATTTAAATCATATTGTTTAATAATTCATTATAAGCTCATATTTAGTATAATTGGGAATAGTTGGGAAAAATGAAACAAACATAATTGGTTGTTGTTGTTTGTTTGTTTGAATGAATGAATGAATGAATACGTATAAATAAAGGTAAATTTATTCGATTCATCGGAAGTATTAAATAAATTTTAAAAAAATTGAATAATTTTTCTTTTTTTCTTTTCCTTTTTTCTTTTTTTCTTTTTCTTTTTAAAAAAGCATCAAATTTATCTCAAATTAGGTGTTTTATATTTTATTGTTTTTCTTTATCAATATTTTTTTTTTAAAAAAATAAAGGCGGAAAAGATAATGTTAATGGATAGGAAATTTGGAATAAATTTATTTTTTATATAATTGAATATTGTCTCCGTTGTAAACAATGTAGGTTGATTTATTTGGATAATTTTAGCATTGAATTAAAATTCAGTATATTATAATTTCTGTTCCTGTTTATGTCACTTTACAAATATGATCTCTCTAAGATGAAGATATGAGTGAACTATGTATTCGATCATCATAATCTTTGGAAGACTGTTGATATTCTGTGATAATCCCATGTCAGTAATGCAGAGATTCAATAGTGTGTGTGTTCCGGGACAGGGACAATAATACCATTGATGTCCTCATCGTTCAAGTTAAAAATCTTCATAGCACTTTGTAATAACTATAATTAACTGATTAGTAATAATTAATGTGTATGGAATAAAAATGTTATCTCCAACGAAATGAATGATGACCACTGGACATCAATACAGTGATTTTAATGATTAAGCGGTCACAATGAGATCTGATGATTGTTGGTTCGATCTGTAGTAGTTTAATGAAGAAGCGGTTCAGTTAAGAAAGGATTCTTTCAGTGAACCAGGTTCTTCTCACTTATAGTAAAATCATAGAAGAAAGTTACAACACGATCTCCACTGCCTACTAGTCCGAGTCACGTCAGATAAAGTCTCAAGACACTAAGTTCCACTACTTCTAGGATCAAAGTCATGGAGTTGTGAAGGATAGATAAATACCGGTGCTGCACACCTTTCTCTTATACCATGACACCATGTCATACACCGACAATCTAATCATTTTTCTAACCAGTCCCAGCGTAGTTAAATAAATTCACGATATTAAATTCAGTGGGGTGATGTTTGCAACAGTTATCCAAGTCACAGAAGTCATTGTTTCATGACGGTGACACCAATTACTTTATCATCACTGTCCCGGAACACAAATCGTCGAATCTCTGCATTACTGATATGACATTATCACTGAATATCAACATTCTTTCGGAGACAAAGATGGTCGAATACAGAGTTGATTCACATCCTCAGCTCAGGCTTACACAAGTCACTGTGTTCCAGACCAACATAAGCTGTTACAGCTTTCACTAGGCGTAGATTAATCTCATCACACACTCCACCACCATCACTCTCACACCGATCAAAATACACGGACTACTCAACCACTTCTAACTGCTCACCAACAAGGGAAATTCTAGGCACATACCTCTTCCAGCCTTGCTAGCGTACTGTGCTCTGAGAATGTGAAAGCACATGCCACATCCATAGATACTGATCGTCAAGTGATTAAATAAGAATAACATTGCTCGGGAATCATCGCACAATAAGACAACTTTATCCGCATAGTCAAAATCAAAATATCTTTCTCCATTTAACAGATGCACACCACCACTAAATATGTCCATCTGAGCTGTTCTCTGAATGTCATCGATGGCATATTTGAAGGTGAATGGAAGGATTGGACAGCTCTGTCTAGCCTCACTGCTCGAATGGAACAGTGGACAGTAGCGCTTGCACATCCTTACTATGCCTGAAGTGTTTGTTGACAGGGACATATAGATGTTAACAAAACGTCCCAGACACACACTTCTTCTATAGACGATCACAGAGAACGGTCCTGTAAAGCAAATCGAGTGTGACTCTGATATAAAGACACACAACGATTGTTGGCGTGTGAAGCATAACGGGAGTTAGTAGTTTGGACGCAACTGCAAGTAGACTTAGCCATTCATAGCTTTTAGTCATCATGGATGGTGTTACTGGTGAGTGTTCCATCAGCTTCATAGATTACTTCACTCACACTAGACATCGTGTCACCATTGTTTCGGATGAGTTGAGACGGAGTCTATCAGATATCAGATGAAGATACACTTCTTCGTTAGCACGCTCAAATCATCAGGGTTCTCGATCCTGATGTAAACTCTGTACAATTTCACTTTGTAAGAATCTACATTTCTCATCAAACTCGCGATTGATAAGAGTAGATGGACTTGTTTCAGGGAAATTTAAGAAGTGTAAAAAATTCAGTGTGTACAGATGCGACGTATCACGAACCCGCAGGTAAATCCACCCTTCATTTTCACGACATCATGTAAATATAATTAGTTATGATCTATACTTCTTAGTGGGTTGATAACTAGCGTTGAATATACCTCGGCTTGTTTGCAATGGAAGTCACCGCTATGAAACAATAAAATATCAAATATCTATCTATCTATTTGTGAACTAGTTATTTTCATATATATCTTTGTGACATTCAGTCATAGAAATTATCAGATAAATGTAACAGGCTTTTTATAAATCATTTGTATATTAAGTTCATCAGCTATATATCAATCCCTCATTTATAATTAACTAAACTCTGAATTGAAATTTAGCCATGATTTTTTATTCTATTCAGGTTGTTTTTTAAACTATAGTTTGTGTCATCTCTTTTTTAAATGACCTGAAATTCAATTTACTCTACTAGGATATATTGTTTATATTCTACTAGAGTAAATAACATTGACCTTTATGATTATTCTTAATTTCTAATGTATCCTGTCCTTAAAAGGAAAACTTAAACCTTATAGTGACTTTATATTTACAAAAAAAAGAATCCAAAATTCAATATCTTGTTAAGATGAAATATTTCCCTGAACTTACCAAGTTTTCATCAATATAACTCGGTAATTGAGTATGAAATACATAGATTTTGTTCATAGCAATATGATAGAAAACTTTCAGTTTACTAATTTGTCTACCTTTATGATATATAAGTAGTATATATTTTATAAAATCATAAAAATTATCTAAATACTGTAACCATTGTTCCATATGTACCTTACATTTTTCTTTAGATGGCAAGACCGTTACAAGTGAAAACTGCTGATATGGAACGTCGTACAGGTCCGTGGTTTACTCAGCTGTTGTGCTTATTCATATACATGTTTGATTATAAAAGCTTTTGTTGTACATTGATTGTCTCTTTGTATATATTCTGTAATAATAATTGATATGAATGTTGTTTATTGTCGTTATTTTAATTTGCTTTTTACTAAAAAAACATAATAAATGTTAAATGTTGTCGATTTTTGTGTACATCGCTGTTATATGAGCTTTATTAACTGAGAATGTTTATTTTTATAATTTACAGTTAGCCTGAATTTTGGCAGTCAAACTTAAATGATAATAATAGTGATTTATTTTCACAGATTCAGTTAGGTCTATAAGAATTATGTAGACATAAACTAAAGACTCCCTGTATACCGAAGCATATCAATAAAGGCATGATAAATATATCATTGACTCCAAGTGAATTTATTTTCACTAGGGACTGATATGTAATTGAAACTCGATGACAACCAAGAAGTGGGTACGGCTATTTCAAAACTATTTGCGTCTTCTTAGGGCTATCCGAGTATTACAGTATATATAGACGGCAATAGTTCAGTATTAATAAATATAATATCAGGAATCCACTTAAAATAAGAACGTCAACCATTGGGTATTAATGCGAAATCGACCTATCTACAAAACCTAACATTCCTTAGTCTGATACAGTTTGATTTATGAATATGAGTTGTTGAAATGTCTTTACATTTAGACTGGAAACGCACATAGTTGATTGTGACTTTCTTCAAAATAGTTGTACAAATTTGTCCAGATCTAGGCTAAGAGTGGAATTCAAGATTCATACTTCGATTTTACATGGAACTCGTCAGCTTTTTACGACAATTTACTGGTATGAAAGTCTTGCTATAATTTGTGAATAATGCCGATGGTCTTAAAACCAACATGTTAACCAACAAAATTCGAAGTCTCCAGATAATCACTAAATTTTGCAGCGTGTATACGCGTGTCCTGTTGGACCCTTCGTACGGGCTGTTTATTTTACAACAATCGATCATTTCATACTAAGACAAAACAATCATACAGTGCTGTTCATCTTATATGTTTGTCCAGCTGTAATCAGTTAACGGTATAAATTATCTTTAATTGTAAACTACCTAGCCCATCCATTTTAAACTATATATATCTGATATTCTACTTTTTTGTTTAATTTATATGTTCGTGATAAGAATCGGTAACACTGGAAAAATTATTAAAACAGGTTTTCAAACTCAACAAACCTTTATTATTTTAATAGCTGAGATCATGAGTCATTTGAAGCTAGAGCGCTTTAGGAAACCTGAAAGCACTGGATGGTCGTATCGTGCTATTGTGGGACTTCTCAGCAATGCTCATCCACGATCCCGCCTCGCGAGATTTGAACCCAGGACCGATCAGTCTCGTGAGCGAACCCTTAACCTCAAAATCACTGAATCATTTACTTTTTATGATTTGGTCACATCTCTGAGAAAAATTGGAATTTATTTCATGATCAGACCACGTATAGATCAGATATAGTATCAATAGCTTATTCTAGTACTGTGCTGTACATATGTAAAGTGTAAAAATGTTTCGAGTTTCTAATCATAGGTATAGATGAATGGATACAAAAAATATTTTCAGAAATATATAAACTACTAATCAATTTTGTAAGTAACATAATTAATTAATCATTAGCTAAGCTCATGATGGAACTATATCACTGATTTCAAAATAGACTGAAGAGAATTGTCTGCATATTAAAATTGATTTCAGGTCAGTCTATCAATAGAATGAAACCCCATAAGAAACGCAATAATTTGTTAGATCATTTGAATTCGGATCCATTTGTTTATGACAACTAATGCAAATATTTATTTGTCTAGAAGGTGGTTTGAGGCAACCAGTAGACAACCCGGTGTCACATAGGTTTGATGTTAAGACTTATTTAGAACGGTAAAAGGCTATTTAATCTATAATAAACCCGAAATGAATTATTTTGGTGATATAATCAGAGTCATTTTCACTGGAGCATAATGGGTAACGATTATGCTTCTTTAAGATAAACTAGCACGAAACCGTTGTCTGGGGTTCGACATCAACTTCTTGAAGTAGTTTAACATCAAATAAACGCTCACTGAGATTTTGAGTCAGTTAATCAATTGGGTACATTCCAAAACTGATTTTGTGAGATTCCGTAAGGACCAAAGATTAGACAATATTACACTGAATACTTTTCATGGATCAAAAAATTCTGACACTCCTTAACATATTTATTCTATACCAAGTTTACCAAGCTTTAAATATGGGTTTGAGTGCTTGTGAGTATCTGATAAATAATAGTTTTGTGTTTAAAGAGATATTTACAACTGATTATATTATTCTACAGGGGTATAAGTCATGCATGAAGTTTCGATTTTACCACTCATACAATTAGCAGAAAAAAAGTGTACTTCCACTAAGATATATTTTGGTCACTAGGAGCTTGATTTCATGGGCAGTTATCAAGGTGAATCCAAAGTATTGAGTTGGAATTGATGTCCACCCTTAGGCTCGAACATGAGTCACTTGGTTTTAGAATCTGATCTTTTCAAGTCAATGGTTAAGGCGGGATAGAATCCTTCAGTAATAGCTAAATATAATTTCATGTATTGACATTCAAGTCAAGTTCTGTTTAAGCGTTCCTTAATATTATCCCCACTCTACTAAACTTGAAGTAAATAGATTATTGTTTGAAGCCGTGATCAAGTCTGTGGAAAGTGTGCTATTTAGCTCCTAAAAATAACTACTCAAACATAAAGTTAGGTTACAAAATTTTCTCTTAGTTCCGTAGCATTATGCTCAAGATGTACCGAATACATATAGTTATCTACCTAACTATTAGGGTTGACAAGCCTTTTGAATAATTCAGTTAATATCCTTTTTTTAAACATGTGACTTAATTTCGTTTTAATTTTGTTGATTGTTATATTTAATTTAGCCCATTAAAACAAATGATTTATTTACTATTCATGTAAACTGACACAATGAAACGATGCATTGGATCATCTAAATGTCGAGATATAAATGATTTCTTTAGTTTTTATAGGGAAATTATGCTGTTTTATGAAAGGAGTTAGTACACTACATTTTCAAGTGTTTGATGATTATCTCATATGAAGAGATAAGTTGTGTTTATGTTTACTTGATAAGACTCTTCATAACCCATATAAAAATAAATTACTTCAAATGTCCAACAATGAACCTTTACTCAATAATCTAAGTGTTTCGTATTCGTTAAGAAATATAATGCAATTCGACTAGATTGGAGATGAGTCCTTTTAGGTAGTCTGGAAATCAAACATAATATGTGTTAGTGTTAACTTCTAGTTTTTATTATTTTTATTATTTTTATTTAAACATATAAACATTGGTACAAGAAGGCACCAAATAGATATGCGACACATAAATCATTCGATTTGTGTGAGGGCTAGGATACTGTCTGGGTGCCCAAACCGAAGCAGGCAGTTTTCTAAGGAGGCCATGCCCGGAGCTTTCGACCTACAGGTCTAATCCACAAGGCAGTGGAGCAACGTCAATAGATGTAGTCCCATGGTAGCCGTTGACTAACAATTGGTTCATGCGCCATTCGTTCCTTCACGATCCTTTAGCCCATATGCACCATTGGTTTTGAATGAGGATTTTACAACTCCTCTAAGTGAATACTCTGTATCCACCAACTACCGGACATTCGCTTTTCATCCTCTCAATTCCGTAAACAACACCCCCACCACGAGAAGGTAATAAGTAGGACTTCCCTAGCAGTGGTTGTATGCATCTGGCCATTTGAGAGCGTTTCATGAGGAAGAGCTGACTCTTCCCACTCTCGGCCGTACCAGGGCATTTGGAGGTATTAGACCTTCTAGTTGATATTGATTTATAAGTGAACTAAACAAAAACAACATTCATTTTGTACTACATACTACTAACATCATGAATGATTTTATTAGGGTAACAAATTGATTTTTCATCTTAAACAGTATAATTTTCCATTAAACGTTTTTTTCCATTTAATTCATGACCTTTTAGTTCACTAAATGACAAATAACAATCTGTTAATCATTTGAGTGACATATAAAACTGTATTCTTAAAATAGTTTACAATAATCAATTGTTCCCTTGCTTAAATCAATATCTTACTATCGTATATATATACATATTATTGACAAAATGTGGACACAACGTTAGCTTCCTAACCCAAGTTAGTTAGTATACATGTTTGTAAGCAGGGTGAAGTAGTGAATACATATTCTCCAAACTCTAACTTGATAAAAATTCAATGCTTTACTACTCAGTTTTTATAGACTTACAGACATATATATGTATCCTAGTAGAGATTTTGTATAATATATTCCTATATATATATTGATATGCTTATATTAAACTCTATTTGGATTGGTTAAAAAGGTTGTCTACGATGGGAATATTCTCTTCTATCCCCTTTTTCTTTAATCAATCAGTATATAGAAATTGGATTCAAAAAAGGGAATAATTCTTTCTCTTAATTCTCTTCTCAAGTATTTATTGATGAGTCTGTACTAAGCCTATATCATTCGTCTATTAATCTGTTTAGATGAAATGGGCTCAAATAGGAGAATACATATATGTATATATATGGGCTGATAGTCTGTTTATCTACATTCATCTTTACTCTATTTTAATATCAATAAAATTAGCAATTGGTCTGTTTTGATATATAATAAATATAAATATCCCCACGGGAAGATAAGACTCTTTGAGTTAGAAGGCGTGAGAGAAGAAAGAGACCGTAAATCAATAACAATACTCCCTCTCATATAAACATTTGTGTTATGTTAATAATAATAGTAATATAAGTATTCCATTTTCTATCGTATCTAACTAAGTTGATTAGAGTATCTTAATATCCTAATTTGTATGTACATAAATTATTCATATTTGTACAGATGAACTCGATCAAATAAGATTTAACCCAGGATTATAACAAATTATGTATTTATTTATATTTATAATAAATAAATAATCATTATGACTAATGAAATATGCTCAATTTTATCACGAAATACTAATAGTACTACTACTAATACTACTAATATAAATACTACTTATAATTCAGATTGTACAACTAGTAATATGGATGATATTCTTGATGCAATAGTTGATGAAAATGATGAAGTTATATCTGGTATAACTAAAGAAGAACAAATAAATATTGTACATGGTAAAGCTTCAAATAATCCACCTTGTTCAAGTTCCATAACACATTTAACAGTATTGAATAATAGTTTTCAATGTCATATAGAACAATCAACATCATTAAAAGATACAACTCATACAACTAATGATAATTGTAATCAGGACGATAATAATAATAATAATAATAATGTGAATATTTCAAAAAATAATATCTGTATTACAAATATACCTAAAACTTTAACTGATTCTTGTCATTCATATGAGTTTTTATTAAATTCGGAACATTTGAAATTAGAAGAAATTGATGATAATTCAATACAGTCAAATGCATCAATGATATTATCATGTAAAACAACTATAATACCGTCATCATTATCATCGTCATCTTCAGATACAATAACAACCTATACAACTAGTGGATTGATAGATAGAACTAATTTAAATGATACAGATTTCATTCAACAACAATATCATCATTTAATGGATCAACAACAACAACATTCAATGGAGACAAGTAATTTGAATTCACAAAGATCTTCTAAACGTGGAAGTAAAACTAGTCTGAATAGTATGGACATGTGTAATAATAGTAATATTGGTGGTAGTAGTAGTATTATTAATAGTAATAATATTAGTTCTAGTCATAATAATAATAGTGGCAATACTAATCAAAAATCACGTAATTTAAATGCTATTACAAATAGTAATAACAATTTTAGCAGTAATACCAACAATAGCGGTAAGTTATTTTAGTGAAAAAAGTTTATTATTTTGAACTACTACTTTAAACAAAATAGTTGGGTGAAATTGAGTTTTTTGTCGTACTTGAATTACTACTATCTCAAATTTGTTCTGATGATGTCTTTCAGAAGAACAATGAAAACTCCATGATTAAACCATCCAGCTCAGAGAAAAAAACTCAATCGAGATCAAGGTTATCCAGTTTGTTTTATTACTATAAGTTGGTTATTTGTAAAGGATAACCTTGACAATATTTACCTAATTCAAATATTCATGATAATGTTTATTTACTCTTACCTGATTGGTTGTTATCATTTATATTTTGTTAGGATTGTTATGTGCCTCAAGGTTATTACATGTTACAATTTAAAGTTATCCGTTTTCAATGTTTGAATTTTGTTTGAAATAGAAAGCTTTCCTGAAAGTCCAGTCTCATCAACCTCATATTAGTGTGTATATTACTAATGCTGAAGTATGGTTCTGTGTCCAAACTTTGGTTTATTCGAGTTCCTCAATTGTTTGTAAACATGACCTACCATAGGCTAACTGAAACTTCAATACGGAATCCCTTTTATTCAGATTTAACAAACTCTGTTCTGATTACTGAATTAAACTGTATTGATTTGTATTTTTCTCTTGTCTAACATCACTGGCAAGCTATTTTGCCATGCTTTAAACTTAATCGATTACATAAATCATGGCTTTTTTGCTAAAACTTAGAAAATTCTTCAATAATAAATAATTTCAATAGTTAAGATCATGAGTAAATTGAAGCCAAATCACCATAGAAAACCTGGAAGCACTAGGCGGCATTTTCCTCCTAGTATGAGCATCCCCAGCAGTGCGAATCCACTATCGCGCCTCGCGAGATTGCATCCCAGGACCCATCATCCTTTTGCGCGAACGCTTAACTTTAGACCACTGAGCTGGCCGGCATTCAACAGTGTTAATGTCTAACATCAACCAGTCCATGGAATTGAGCCACCGTTCACCATCGTCTTCAGTAAGTCACTATCTCACAACAGACCCGATTAAACTCCGCTAGTCACTGCTTCTCACCAGAACTCCAAGAAATACCTCGCTAGTGACTCATGATCTCAATTATTAAAATTACTACAATATCCACAAAAACCCCTTCTAATACAAATAAATAATTAGTCAATAATAAATAAATGATAATTATTAGGGTAAGGAGTTTGTGAATTTATTATTATGGATGCCCTTTTATAAAACAACTAACAGTAATATCTACAATATCAGTTCGACTTGTTAATTAAACTTAAAAAAACTTTGAACAATCTGTATATAATTGAGTTCACCAGATTCTGTTGTTAGTCATAATCCATCTATTCTGAAACTTGTGATAAAACGATTATGTACACTTAGAATGCAAATATACCAACTAAAGCTAACCAAAATTTAGTCTTGAATATCAACAGTGGAATAATTTAAACCCTTCCTAATAATACTAATAATAATAATAATAACAATAAGAAGAATAAGAAGAAGAATGAGATATTCATCCATTTAGTGAAATTTCCATGACCTTAAAATAAGGTCATCATATACGAGATGAGTCATATGAAAGAGGGAATTCAATATGTTGTGTTTATAGCGAGTATATTCATTCTAACTTTCCTCACGCACTCACCCATTGTTCTCGTAATATCCTTTGTTTTGAGACTAAATGGGTCATTCCTTATTCATAACTTGTCGGTAAATATTCAGGAATGTGTATAAATAAAATCATTTATCGATTCCATTTGTTAGAAAATGATCTCATTTCGCTTATCAGTGGAAATAAGATAGTAGTCGTCAAATATTTAGTCCTACCATAGGGCTCCTCAGTATCAATGAGTATCCACAATCCCCTTGCGAGTCGAACTCACGATCTCAGGGCTTTAAATGCTAAGCTTAAACTTCAGACTACAGAGTTCCGGTCGATTGGTTTACATACCCAACAGCAGTCATTATGTGATATTTGGTAACCAGTATCCACCTTCATCGATGTTATTTGTCTCACATTTAGGGGTTTTATGGTTTAATGTTCATTATCAGAATTGATTAGTCTTGAGTCTGGACCATGGTTTGGTTGTGAATGGGCACTGCTACTGAGGATTCTTATACAAGTACATCCTTTATACTATATCTTGGTTTTCAATAGTTGTCTGACGATGTTCAGTCTGTAAAGTAAAACTACAATATTTTATACTTATAATTCCATCAACTCATTCTTTTTTTCATATAAAATTGTCTATATGTTCTTTTATTTTATCACTGATTCTCTTATTATTTCGACTCGCTTTCTGTCCATCCTATTAATTTGATCTCGTTGTTCTGAGGTAGTAATGGAAATTGAACTGACATATAATTGCGTAAAATCTTGAGTTTATAAACCTAAGGCCGAACAACAAGTGTACATCATTCGGTTAATAAAAGCTTATTCGATATCTAGGAAAACTAAAGAATAACACAAAACGGTACTATTTATGAAGAACATGTTATCCTTCACATGATTTATGATTCTGATGTGTCAGTTCTATTTCATGTTCAGTTTTTTTTAAGCTGAAATGGATTTAATATCAGAAGGGTCTTTGTGAATATTATAGTAATTTTAATAGTTGAGATTATGAGTCAATTGATGCTAGACCACCATGAAAAACCTGGAAGCGCTGGACGGCCGTTTCGTTCTATTCTGCGCTGCTGAGGAGTCCCACAATAATAAGAAACAACCGTTTAGTGCTCTCAGGTTTTCCATGGTGGTCTAGCCTCAATTGACTCATGATTTCGACCACTAAAATGGATTTATCTGCTTGGATTTATTCATATGCATTAGTTGATAACAATAGCTTGTCTTCATTCCTTTACAGTTATTCAACCTTAGTAAAACTCTTTTATATCCATTCATATATATTTGATTGCTTAATTTTTTTTCCAAATAGTTCATATGTTTAAATAAAAACTCTTGATAACATTTCGTAAACCTTAAAAACCACGTACACAATTCATTTCATTTCTCCTCATTGAATAGACTTTTAATTTAATTCATTTATGTGTTTATTGTTCACAAAGTTTCAAGTTCACTTATATTATAACTCGATTTCAGTAATATAGTAAAATTCACTAAAATATTATCCACAAACTAGAAGTGGTTTAACTTGACTTAAAGAATATTTTAACCATAGATATCCTCTTTGTTCTTAGTGAACATAAATAATTACTGTTTTTAACACACAAAATTTTCAAATGAATCTAAAATGCTTAGTAAATGATGTGATCATTCAATTCATAATCAATATACTGAATCTTTATTAATTTTTGCATGATTGAAGATTAGGTTTCATTGATAATTTATAGAACGAATAAAACAAAATGATGTTATCTAAGACTATACTGTTTATGATATGATAACCAGATAGTAAGATTCAAATTCATGTTATCAAGTTTTAGAGTACGAGACGTTATCACTATATACCGTCTTTTTATATTAGTGGATTGTTAGGAATTACGTAATATTTATTATATCAATTTCCATTGTTATTTCCATCTTGCAATAAGATGAAAAATTATCTTGTATACAAATTTATTTACTGAATTAAATTAGTGATGAAAACAATCTCAAGTTAAATGTTTTAAATATACGGTGGAAATTTGATAACTTTTACAATTAATACCTTTAAAGGATTCTTGACAAGTAGGTTTAAACCAAAAATAAAGATTATTTGACATGTTAAACTATGTCGAGTCTCCAGAAATCTTCAGAAACCTCCTAATCTATGAGTTTTAATTGTAACAATATTATGACAATGGTGGATGATGGCTCAATTTCGTAGATTAGTTAGACATTAACTCCATTGGATACTGGCTCAGTGGTCTAGAGGTTAAGCGTTGGCGCGCGAGACTGGTAGGTCTTGGGTTAAAATCTCGCGAGGTGGGATCGTCGGTATGCACTGCTAAGGAGTCTCATACCAAGACGAAACGGTCGTCCAGTGCTTCCTGGTTTTCCAAGGTTGTCTATCTTCAATTGACACATGAATTCAACCACTAGATTACTATAATATCCATAGAAACCCTTTCTGAATATTAATATCATTATACGATTGTTACATAAGATTTAATAACAAAGATTGTTCTCGCAAAGTATGAAATGATGATGATGACGACGGTGATGATTCAATTTTCTGCCAGAATGCATAAAATCTAGAATATAAATATATAACAATTATAATACATGTAAATGGATCATGCTATAATTAATGACAGACAAGAAATTCTGTTATTGTTTGAATACAAAAAATAGAAAGATATTTTAATGGACAATAAGAAATTAAGAAACTTATTTCAATACCACACTGAGTACATATATTGATCTATAGATTTGTTTCATGTTATTTATCATTATGGGGATATGTGAAGATTGTAGTACTTTTAACTATTGAATTTACGGGTCGATCTAAGCTAGACCAGCATTGAAATCTCTAAGCGCTGGACGGCCGTTTCGTCCTAGTATGGAACATTACTACCATTGAATACTAGCTCAGTGATCTAGGGTTTGAGCTTTCGCGCGCGAAATCGAATTTTCTGGGTTCAAGTGCCGCGTGTGGAATCGTAGATCCTTACTGCTTAGGAGTCCCGTAATGATACAGAAAGGCCTTTCACTGCTTCCAGTTTTTCAATAGTGGTTTAGCATAAATTGACTGTCAAAATAATGTTATTTAGATAATGGATATCATGATGAATATTCCTTAGTTTCATAGCATAATAAAATTAGGCTGATAACAATCATTAATTCTTTAACGTCGAACTTCAAAATAATATTCTGGAGTTCTAGTGAAAAATTAAAACCAATCAAGCTTCATAAATTTACATGTTATATTACTTGCTTACTTACGCCTGTTACTCCCAATGGAGAATAGACCGCCGACCAGCATCTTCCAGCACACTTTGTCCTGGGCCTTCCTTTCCAGTTCTATCCAATTCTTGTTCATTTTTCTCATATCTATCTCTATTTCTCGGCTCTTTGGTCTTCCTCTTTTCCTTCGGCCTTGAGGATTCTATGTGAGGGCTTGCCTTGTGATTCAGTTGGGTGATTTTCTCAATGTATGTTCTATCCACTTCCAGCGCTTCTTCCTGATTTCTTCCTCCACTGGGATTTGGTTTGTTCACTCTCGCACAGTAGGTTGTTGTTGATAGTGTATGGTCAACGGATCCGAAGTATTTTGCGTAGACAGCTACTAATAAACACTTATATCTTCTGAATGATTGTTTTCGTAATTATCCGAGTTTCCGCCCCATACAGTAGAACTGTCTCGACATTTGTATTGAAAATTCTAACTTTAGTGTTGGTTGACAGTTGTTTTGAGTTCCAGATGTTTCTTAGTTGTAAATATGCTGCTCTTGCTTTGCCGATCCGCGCCGTTACATCTGCATCAGATTCACCGCGTTCATCATTGATGCTGCCCAGATATGTAAGGTTTTTACATCTCCCAAATCTTCTCCATCAAGTGTGATTCGATTGTTGCATTCCGTGTTGTTTCGGAGAATCTTGCTTTTCCCTTTATGTGTGTTAAGACCTACTGTTTCTGAGGCTGCTGCTACGCTAGTCGTTTTCTCTTGAGTTTGTTGTTGCGTGTGCGATAGAAGAGTCAGATCATCTGCCTAGTTTATATCGTCCAGCAGCATCCTAGATGTCTATTGTACCGATGCTTCTCCCTAGATGTTGATGTCTTTATAATCCAGTTGATTACCAGGAGAAAGAGAAAGAGTGAGAGTAAGTAATCTTGCCTGACACCAATGTTTACTTCAAACGAGTCAGCTGTTCTCTATGCACGATTTTGCAGTTTAATCCATCATAGGAACTTCGTATGATATTGACTATTTTCTCAGGCAAGCTGTAGTGTCGAAGAAGCCTCCATAGTTACATATTATATAGTTAATACAATAACCCAAGGATTGTTTCTCTTTACTGAAATTATACAAATATTCAATGTTCAAATCGTTCAATATATCTTGTAAATTCTCTAATGTTTAAATAAGCATTTTACTTTATTTTTTATTGACTGATTATTTCTATTTAGAAGAACGTAAATTATTTGTTGGTATGTTAAGTAAACAACAAAATGAAGATGATGTCAGATTATTATTTGAACCATTTGGTACAATTGAAGAGTGTACAATACTTCGAGATCAAAGTGGAAATAGTAAAGGTAAAATATTCATGATAATCCATTACAAATTAACTGTTAAGTTGAATTCTTTCAAAGTATTATTGTTTTTTGTATAGCTGAAGAGATTTTGTGTTGATTGGGTTTTTAATTTGAAAATTGTATTCATCACAAGTTGATCTCATTTGAGATGCCGTTAGAAACCATAGAGTACTGGATGTGTATTTTGTTGTAGATGAAATTTTACCACTAAATATCGCCACAATGGTTTTATTGATTGAGAGATCGTGTGGTGAGATCATGGGTGTCCACTTTCTCAGGTGCAATAATAAGCTGAAATAACTCCCCAGCGCTCTTTGGTTTCTAAGACTATCTCAACTCGTAACAATCTGCGACTGATGCAAACTATAAACATTATAATAATATTGTTTATTAGTTAAGATGATTCCACCACCATGAAAAGTTAAATTTAATTATTCAAAGTTTTCATTATGGGAAATCTTATGTTAAAACCTTCGCTAGATCATAAATGTACACTAACTAAAGACCCTAAAGAAAAACGAAGCAATTATCTACCACTCTTAGATTTCAGTTGTTTTTCAACCATTATTATAAATCTTGACCCGATCAAATAATGATTCCGTACTGACTTGTAAAAAAATTCATCGTGTTATGTAGAGTTGACTAAACTAAGGAGTAAGATAATAACTCATCGATCACATAGCGTTAAGACGATGAGCCGTACCATAAACTGATTGAACACGACAATATGAACTAATAGTTTTTAGCTCATTGATCTGAAATTATCATATCTGGTGAGCTGCACAATTACCGTTCGTTAGATCATTTTTTAAGATCATATATATATACTATTGAGGAGTTTAAAATCAAGAGTTCTAATTCACTTGGTATTGTTTACTTGAATATTCCGACTGATGTTTAAGACTGCAATTGACCAGTCTCTTATTGGCATATGTGCATACTGTGCGTATTGACTCTATATTGCCTTAATTCATAAGTGTTATAAGCAAAAATGGATGGTAGCTAGCAGTGGAATAAGGTTTTGTAAAAATTAAAAATACAATTCCGTCGAGCTAAGCAAAATGAACAAAATTCAAAGTCCATGGAAAATTGTCATCTGTTAGTAAAATCCACTCATATTATTAGTATTTATTATTACTATTATTACCATTACTATCATTATTATCTTTATTAAGCAGTGACCAGTGGAGCTCAACAGGGTCTGTTGTGAGATAGTAACTCACTAAATACAATGATGGATGTATCGCTCAATTTTGTGGATTAGTTGAAGTTAGACATTAACACTGTTGGATGCCAGTGGTATAGTGGTTAAGAGTTCGCGCACGACACTAGTAGGTCCTGGGTCGGAATCTCGCGAGGCGGGATTATGGTTGCGCACTGCTGAGGAGTCCCATAACAGGGCGAAACGGCCGTTCAGTGCTTCCAGGTTTTCCATGGTGATCTAGCTTCAATTGACTCATGATCTCAACTACTAAAATTAACATAGTATTCACAGAAACCCCTTCTGATATTACTATACTAACCATAATTTCAATTAATTTATTATAAACCTGAAATAGAAAGATTTCCTTTTGTTCTTTCAAATAAAGGGTGTGCATTTGTAAAATTCTCTACACAACAGGAAGCACAATCTGCTATTCTTACGCTACATGGAAGTCAAACAATGCCGGTAAGTTTTCAGTATACTCGTGTGTATGTGCGTGTGTGCGTGTGTATGCAAATGCATTTTACCCTCCAAAAGTATCATGAATAATATCTTCTAATTAATAAATAAATGATAACATTTATAATTAACAAGTTAAAAAGTTGATCAATACAATTGTGATCCCTAACCTTAACCGATAAGATACGATGGTTTAATATGCTTTCCTACGTTAAATATTCATAATCATTCGACAGAAAACCAATGATCATTGATTCAATGATTTATGAACTGATTTTCAAGATAATAATGTTTACATAACATTCAAAATATACAAAATTGTTTAAATTTAGAATAACCAACATCACATTGGTTGTCCTAAAAATCGTTCCCAAAAATCTTCTAGAACTATTTAGGTATTCAGCGATTTTATTGGGTCATATCTCCAAGTAAGGTAAATGTTGTTAGGTTTTGTTTTTCGACACTAAAATTAATAAAAATGTCAACGGTATTTGTGTATTCTTCTCATTTCCGAAATATCACTTTCCCAGAACAAGATTCATTTTGATGTTCTCTAATACTTTTTATAATCCATATTCATAGATCACATGTATGAACAAGTATGCCACATGACTACACAATGAATAGAAAAACATTGAGTTTAACAGGTTCATAACTAAGAAAATGAGTTATTTTATATTACTCAATTGATCATAATTTAAGATTATCCAAAAAAATTAGTCACTAAAGTTTACCAGTAGATCAACATAAAATTATCCTGGAAAAATATTACTGTTTGCATCACAAACTAACCGTAGTTAGTCTACAATCAAATACAGGGTTACACTGCACATCTAGTTCACACTAGTGGTCTACAGTGTTTCATCAATTTTCAACCATGTGCCTATCATCCACATGGATTGAACCTAGGACCATTAAATCTCGTAAGGATTATGATTTACATTTGATGATTAATGTTAGGAATTAGATTTAGGGTTTTCACCACGAAATGACATTAGCTATTTAAGTCATTGAGCTAATACAAAATTGTGTGGACTTTCAATATTAACCAATCCGTAAAGTTGAAAAACTATTATCCCACGCTAATGGTGAGTTGTTAGATCAGTCAAGTATAACTATCCACGTTTCATATTCTGGATATTTTCGCCTCTTTCTTGATTATATATATATATATATATATATATATATATATATATATATTGAAGTTCAATTTACTTGAATAGAAATATGAAGTTTAATCTTTTTTTATATTACCACGTCTGAATGTTCATCCTTTCTGCAATCTGCATCATTTGTTAATTTAAACAACATCATCATCAACTCCATTGATATAACAACCACATTACAAATAATGTCAGGGAGCTTCATCAAGTATCGTTGTGAAATTTGCCGATAGTGAAAAAGAACGTCATACAAGAAAAATTCAACAATTAATTGGTCCAATGGGTCTATTTAGTCCAACCATAGCATTATCTCAACTAAATGGTAATATGTATTCACAAATGATAGAGGTACGTGTATATGTAGTCATTATTTATGTACAAAAAATTTTACATATTTAGTTCTGGTAAAAATGACTTATTGATAATGTAGTAACTTTAAACCTGATTAGTTAACACGTGATTTATTCGCCAAACGAAATACGACTTATACAATCTTAGCAATGTGTCAAACCAATGATGTCGAACTGGTATGAGAAGCATAGCGTCCTTATTGATTCTTTGGTCGCCTAGCCCGTCCAGTTGAGTCCAAAACACCAATAACAGCTTCCACTATGCAAATAATTTATTTCAAACATACTTGGTTTATATACAATCCAAACAGACCACATTACACTATAAACTAGAAAATAACGTTTATACAGGATCAATCCAAGAAGTGGCTGTGAACGTGGGAGGCGGTAATCATCAGTTAACTGAACAGAACTTAAGAACAATAAATCGTACAATAATAATCTATGGGTCGAAATAAAGCTTATAATAAGAGGACTATAGATATACATAGTCTAGTTACTGAACAGTTATACAATAGGAATATGTATATATATATATATATATATATATATATATATATATATATATTAGTCCATTAATAGTTTTCAGAAGTTCCCCGTAGTTTAATCTTCACTTGGATATAACAGATAATACTGATCATTTGACATTTAATAGCTGTGCTATTTAATATATCGGCGAGACCATCATTCATGGATGAACAAATCACGTATAACAGGCCTGGGATTTTGGAGAGACATTCATTCATTTATTTGGCTAAATAGCGTTTTGGTATTATAGCTAATGTCATTTCGTGGCGAAAACCCTAAATCTAATTCCTAACATTATTCATCAAATGTAAATCATAATCCTTATTCTTCAAACTGCTTTATAGCGCTCATTTAGTCCTAGTAAGTAGGTAGGCACTCACAAGGTCATTTTTGCGTTGCTCTAAGGTCGTCCATAAATTATAGTCTCACCAATATGTTTATAAAAAGATATCTTATCTAAGTAATTTTAGATGGAGTCTATACTATGCTATAATCAGGAATAGTACAATATGGCAATTAACATACTAACCGTTATTGGGTAACATCCATTCAATAATTATTTTTAACATAATATTAATTAATAAATATAGTCATTCATTGATAGGAAACACAGTGCACACATTAAAACTATATATATTGGGACGTAGTAAACATGAATAACAAATATAAAAAGATCACAATGTTCACTGATTGGTAGACAAGGTAGAACTCATTAAGGTCAAACTGGGATTGGCTATTTATCAAGCCATGATTTTAGCTAATAATCAATGTAATGATGATTAGTGAACATCAATAAAATGATAACTCTAGAATTTACATACTTTTCTCCTTATTTACTAATAAAGATGAACTTGAATTCCATGTGATTTTGTTTACACTATGTCAGGTTTAGTTCATGACTTTATTAAAAATAAACATAACCTAAGATCTATTTCAAAATTAGCAAAACAATGATTTCAAAATATTCACTTTTCTACCATTTAATTAGTCCTGTGTAACATTAGTTTCCTTTAAAATGTAACTTAAGAATCCGTTTTATTGAACCAATATAAAGTGTAGTGACTTCTCTGGGGCTACTACTGGTCCCAAGCCAGAATAAAGAAGGAAGGTTGGGCATGGGGTTAGCGACCTCATCCCATAGAACACGAACTCGCTAAAAAAAACAATAACCAGGAAAAAATAATTCAAACCATCTAAATTCTTCCCTGGGAGTTAGATGGTCTTCATTTAGAAGAGTTATGATGCCTCATGGTGAAAGTCAAGTTCCTTCGGAAATCACCAAACTGATGCCCGTTCTGACAACAAGAACAACCATTAATTTAGGTACATGAAATTCTCGTACAATGTTAGAGACCGGGAGAGTCATAAATGAAAAGACACAACCTGTAGATGATTGAAATCAGGTTGGACAATAAAGACTAGCTTCAGGGGAGCTGCTGTTATACTCCGTCCATGAAAAAGAAAATGCTCCATATACACAAGGAGTTGCACTAATGTTATCCAAACAAGCATCAAAAACGCTTATACGACGAGAATCTCGTGACCCAGGATCATCAAAGCCTCTTTCGAAACAAAGGAAGAGGGCATTACAATGAACGACCATAAAGTGAATTGTGATTTTCAGTTTTCAATGATGATTGGTTTACATTGAAAACTTCCTGATCCGGTTTAAAATACTACAGTCTAGTAAAAAGTACACAATGAAATTCAAGTGAATAAATAGACACTCACAAGAAGTTAAAAACACAAATCTAGTAAATTGATATCTATTCAGATTAATCTCGAAAAGGTCAGTTGGGCGCACATTCAAACATTGTAAGAAATCTGGTTCCACAAATGGAAATACAATTATCATTAGGTTATGAACTCATTGATCATAAAAAATTCTCACTGATTGACTAAATACTATGAGAGATTATTAGCGGATAAAGCAAACAACACAATAACAAGTAACAGGAGTACAATATTGTGGCAAATTCTAAACAACCACGACGAATTTTCAGCCAATTTGTAGTTAAGTAGAAAACAAATATGTAAATGAATAGTTTATGGATAAGAAAACACTATTACTACAAAGTTTAAACAGCTTTTTACATATTTAACAAATCTATTACTGTCTTTTATGAGTTAATTTCCCTTTAGGACTAAGAGTTTAATGTTAGGATTTAGGGATAGTGTCAGTATTTCTGTTACATATAATCTATAAGAGCGAAATTTCACATTTGATACGTTTAACATTTTCATTTTGAAACTATGGTGGTAAAAAGTAATTTTTCGCTATTATTTTAAATGTGTTGAACAGTATATAAAGATATTTCAATTGTTCATTATACATAATATTTGAGATTCAAACAAAAATCTATAAACCCAGTTCTCAATTGTGATTGACTCGTCTCTATACTCTAGACTTTGACAGAAAAGTTCCAAGGTGGCCTTCTTGAATATCTGGGCTACCTGTTTCTGCCATCTGGATATTATAACAAGTTCTCAGTTTTCTTGTTTGATTTAACACATCATTATGCCTATTAGTCTCATAATCTATTCACGTTTGCTTTATGAAAAGATTACTACATTTCGCTGTACAAGTTACAAAAGAGCCTAATCAGCGTCATCGTAGTTTCTAGCAATATGCATCGAAAAAAATATACATTAATCAGATAACGATTCTTGAACTGTTAACATATTACTGGTGACCACTACATATTTGTAGCAAGGATCGATCAAGAAATAAGAAAAGGAAACTTGTTAAAATACTTTGTGCTTAGAATTTTATATTCTACCAGAAATATAATATTGAATAAAGACACTAACAATAATAATAATAAAAGTCCGTTTAAACTTCTCAATAATTGTGACTCAGAGTTGTAAATAAGCCAATTAAGACTGTCCACTGCTCACGAGTGACTGGCCTCAAGAGGTATTTCCTGGAGTTCTAGTAAGAAGCAGTGACCAGTGGAGTTCAACAGAGTTTGATATGAGATAGTAACTCATTGAAGACAATGATGGACGGTGGTTAAATTTCGTGGATTGGTTGAAGTTAGACAATAACAGAGTTGAATTCCGGACGGCTCAGTCTTCTAAGGTTAAACGTTCGCGCACGAGACTGATGGGTCCTGGGCTGTAATCTCGCGAGGCGGGATCTTGGTTGCGCACTGCTGAGTAGTCCCATAATAGGACGAAACGGCTATCCAGTGCTTCCATATTTTCCGTGATTATCTAGCTTCAATCAACTCATGAATTCAACTATAAAATTACTAAAATCTCCACAAAACCCCTTCTGGCAAGTTATTACGTTAAATATTTGTAGTGATTACTTATAAATTCGGAAATTTTTATTTAATCAAATTAACTCATTTCGTTAACGATTATTGTGTGAAATAACGTGAATTAAACAATATTAGATTTTGAGTTTAAACAGTTTACATTTTATCACAATAGCTTAATAGTGAAACTGTAGTGAACGAGAACAATGTGGGAACAATTGAATGTACTTGAATACAAAATTACACGGCATTTTAGTAAAATCTGAGAACTATACAGTAAATACTGAATTTGCAGAATGCCAATCAATCGTCTCAGACGTCACTGTTCTTTCGTTTCCACATCAATCATTCTTTGTTCTCGTTCTCTTTTCTTTGATATTCTTAGCCTACCGCTAGGTATTTCACTTTGGAGTGATGTTACATACTACTTATATCAGTCGACATCAGTAACATACACTACAAAACAGCCAATAAAACCTTGTTTTAATTTACAACAATTTCCACAGATTTTAATGCTTTTTATATTAACGAATTTAGAATTGATAATTAATTTTTATATAAACGTCTTGATTTATTTAGAATATGGCACAAACAACAGGTTATATAAATCCAGTTGCTGCATTGGCATTACAACTTCAGCATGCCAGTCAATTAGCTACAGTCAACTTACCGACTAATGTAACAAATTTAGCAATGATTTCTGCTTTAACCAACGGTTCCAGTGGACATTTAGGCTGTGCTCCACTACTGCATAGTCCACGTTCAGGTACTGTTAATCTATCGCCTAACTGTCATACAAATCCAATGGCTGCGGCAGCAGCTGCTGCCGCTGTGCTTGGTATGTCCGGCAGTAATCCTCAGCTAACGCAAATATCACCTCAGATGGCAGCTTTATCCAGTGTAAACAACACATGTATTTCCGGAGAGACAGGAAATAATAACCCCACTAATAATGGAAACTCTACAGCGGCAGCGGCCGCCGCTGCACTCAGTACAAATGCAGCCATGGCTGCAGCCGCCGCAGCTGTAGTTGCTATGGCAAATGGGAATGTGACAGGGAATGTGAATTCAAATGGAACAACAGGTGGTTTGGCAGGACAAACAATAGGCTTAGGATCTCCCGGAACTGGTGGTCACACACTAGCTCTACATGCAGTTCCTGGGACACATACACCATCGGCAACCCTCAGTGGTCTTGGCGCTGTTTCTCTTCCTTTGAATCAAGCAAGTAAGTCTATTATTGTCTAGCATCACACAGTCATTATTAAATTAAGCATCATACATCTCAAATAGTTCATTTCCAGTCCCACACGAGGGTCCGTGGATTTTTACGAACCGGCCGTCCAGTTTTCCAGGTTCTTGATAATGGTCTAGCATAGATCGACTAGTGATTCTTAGAGTACGCTTGATCGATTAAGCAATTAGGAACACATTGAATGAATGATTCAGATGTAAACAATTCAAGAGATAAGTTAAAGCTTACATTTTATATGCTTTTGTATAAATATCATGATTAAGTAGCTCACTCATGGTCATTTAGATACTGATTAACAGATAAATTTAAAAAGTTCCTCTGCCCATACGATTATGATCAACTTTTCCTACTGTTAGGAACTAATATCGACGATAGAGTCATTCAAAAGCTAATTTCGTTTCGTATTGGAATTTATGTTTGACAAGATTAAACTAACCTCCACATCTCATCCAACTATAGTGACCATCAGTGAATGGATTTTCAATATTTTCGACTTGTTAGTTCAAAAATATTATGAATATAAGATAAAATACTTACCAATAAAATTGAATGGATTTAGAAACTCAAACCACTGGTTCCTGAGTTTGAGGTCTATATTGTATTCATCATGCGTGCTATGAAGCGTAGAAGATGTGGAATTTATTCTAAAGTAGATCGTTGATTTTTACCAGTGAATAGTTTTAGAATAGGAAGTAACAGCTGTCAAGTGATTTTTCAAATAATCTCAAATCAACAGCTAATATGTTGATTTTATATGGGCTAGAATATTCATTTACAAATTGGTCGATCTTAAGTTCGAACTTCATTCTACATATTAGGCTTACGTAACACACGGGTAATAGTAGTAATTGTTTTGATGGAGTTTTGTTCTCTGAGCTGGATGTTTTGATCGTGGAGCTTTCATCGTTTTTCTGAACGACATCATCAGCACAAACTTCAGGTGGAAGAAGAACTAAACTCCATCAAAATCATCCACCTGAGCTACAAATCTCCACCATCTCAAGTAGTAATTGTTGTTGTGTCATCACCTTTCGCAAGATGCTAATGGGGATTAAAACCTAATATGTCCTTGGGAAACGAGTTATTGAATCATCTATATAAAATAAATATAAGTCTTTATAAAAATTTCTGCTTTATTAATAATTTTTATTAATTAATTAATTTTTGTAGTTTCAAATACTTCTTTTGGCTTAAATACACTAACATCTCCATTAACTGGACTTCCTACTGATGCACTTTCCCATTTGTATCCCAGTGTTCCAACTTATGGATTATGTAAGTATCCTTTTTATGGAATAATATCGATGAAAATTGTTTAAAACATGGCCATTTCCATATAGGTGAAGTTTACATTATCTCCTCCTCTTCCTCCATTATAGAAATAATTGTTTTTAAGTTATACAACCTTGTAAAATGGTGAATGTATCTATATTCGAACCAAATAATTAAACACTGAATGGTTTCATAATAAAGCCTATTTACCTAACATTTCAGTCAGAGACATAATCATTGAATCATGGATAATGGATATTACAAGCCAAGTTCTCCTTGCTATCGATTTTCAAGAATAATTAGCTATGAAAATCAATGTATTGTGATCTAAACATTTCGATTTCTACAGAGTGATATTTATACTTTAGTTAAATTATATTGTTTAGTGCAAGTTTATGAAGTATTAAAGTTTGCATATGTATTTCCTAAAGAATCGACTATGAAACAATGAAACTTTACATGGTTGATTACTGAAGGCAGATGCTTTGTTAACCTTATCACGTATGTCCATAATACGTACAATGACTTTACTCAAACTGCGTCATATGTAAAAGTCCGCCAATCTAAAAGATGAGATTTACATTTCAAGAGGATAGTGTGCCTGAATGTTTATGTTTGATTACTTTAATCATTTTATACACATAGTTCCCTTTATCATTGTGAAAAGAGCGAGAACAAAGATTCTAGCAGAATAGTATGAATTCATTTTATTTCATCTGGTTCTCGTCAGTTGCTTGCAACCTGTGATATTTAAAGGTCACAATTACATAATGGGTTTTAATTACTTACATGAAAGGATTTCGTTGGAAGTTTTATTGAAGAAATATTCATTCGTATAGTATAGCAAGGGTGTAAATAAATTGAATAGACTGAATATTGTAAATATATATACCATATGTGAAAGAACATCCTATGACATTGACTGTGACAACAGTTCAAATGCCCAGAAACAAGTGATTAGATAATAAGTAAACATTGATAGGAATATAATGAGTAGAGCTGAGGTGATAAAATAAGATTATTAACTTGGAAGATAGTTGAAATAAAACTCAATGATGTAATAAATACAAGAAAGAGTTTAAAGAAAAAGAAAAAATATTTTATAATGCAGCGAAGGAATATTTGTTACCAGGGCAAGGAAAGATTAATGACCAGGTTTTTGATGCCTGATGGTAACGGCTTCAGCAAACTTCAGAAGCCTAGAGTTTGGCTGCTTACTAATCACCTTGATGGATTGCAAGGTATCGACCTAATGTTTGGTGATTACACTGTTTAGAGTCTTTCTTTCTCTTGTTCTGAGGCTTTTCGGAACATGTTCAAAAAAATCTAGGATATGTTCTCTTTTCTGTTAGGCCAATGTAGCTGCTTTGGCAGGAACACTTAAATTTATAAATACAATTGGCGGTAACATGAAAGGGGTGAATGTCAACCTTTGATTGAGTTATTATCATTTTGAAATATCTACTTCTACTACAACTAACCTTGAAAATCAGACCAACTGGTACCTAATATCTAAATCTATATTGACTTAACAACTTTTATCAGATGATTAATCTCCTTCTTAAATTGTTATAATAAACTTTGAAGTTGTTCACCTGATAGTACATTATATTATAATTTGCAATCTGATTCATTTATATGCACTTAATCAGCCCAGAAAATCAATTACTGAATAAGAAGCTTTGTTGTCAAAAGTCGAGTAATTATGCTTACAACCCGTAAATATATAAATTCGGGTATTTATTGACACATTCTAACAATTACATCCACTTAAATGTTCAATTGTTGTTTTGTTTTAAACTGATACACATAGGCTAATTTATGTATAGATTGTTTATTTATTAACACATTAATTCAATGATAAAATTTAATTTGATTAGCTTATCCTTCACCGGTCACATCTGCTTTAAATCCATTCGCTACAATGGCACATCAAGCACTTACAATGCCTATACAACAGAAAGAAGGTACTAAAGATCTGATATTAACAGGTATGATTTAATTTTAATTGACTACACTTATATATATATATATATATATATATATATATATGACCCATTTAATGATCTGTTTTACTGTCTGTCATAATATTTTCATTGAATGTTATTAACTGAAATAATAATAATTTCAATAGTTGAGATCATGAATCAATTGAAACTATACTATCATGGAAAACCTGGAAGCACTAGCTTAAGTTAGACATTAACACCATTGCTGGCCGGCTTAGTGGTCTAGAGGTTAAGTGTTCGCGTACGAAACCGACAGGTGTTGCGTTCGAATCTCGTGAGTCGGGATCGTGGATGCGCTCTGCTGAGGATTTCCACAATGGGACGAAACGGTTGTCCAGTGCTTCCAGGTTTTCCATGGCGGTCTAACTTCAATTGACTCATGATCTCAACTATTAAAATTACAATAATATCTACAAAAACCCCTCTTGGTACTAAAATAATAATGTCTAACTTTATCAAACTTCTCGCTCATTTTAATTTATTTTAACCTATTGCTATATACATTACATATAAAGTTTAATAAATTTACAAACTACTTAAATACACAGCTATATTTTCTTAAGAAGAATAAATCTCCATCCACTGACTAAGTATTTGTAACATAAACTTATTAGGTGAAAAAATGTGGTTTCATTAAAAGGTACATTCAATTTATTCTTGGCTTAAATAATAATTTCATAAAGATTTTGCATAATTAGATTATTACAAACTGATGCTAATAATTGGCAAACTAAATGGTATGAAGTATTGAATAATTGTCTCCCTTTAATAGTAAACAGATAATCAGGAAATACCTATATGTCCCCATACAAGATCAAATTAACGATCCTTCAGATTTCTTGACCAACAAAAGTATCATTCGAATACTGTCCATTACTCCTTGTTTTTCAGTGATTTTCTAGATATCTATTTGTGATAAAAATCCCAATCAAATTTTTGATAAAGGAGATTTGTGAATATTTGTTTTGTTTGTGAGTTACATTTGTAACAGACTGAACTACATTGGAGTGCTTCCGGATGTCAAAGAATATCAGGTAGGTGGTGCACCTTAATACAAGACTCCTTTAAAGTGAGTACTTATTCATTAAAGTTCAGATCCAGGACCTCTTGGTCTGTTGACTAGAGCTCAAACATAAAAACTCTGGGTAGACACCTAGTAGTACACATTTCCGACTTCACTATATATTTATACATAACCTTGAAGATGTAGGACACGAGCTTGTGTCATACTTATGTATTCTAAACTATGTTATTCTTACCAGAAATACACAGTTTACCAGTTATAGAACTAAAAATTCAAAGTCTTGTAAAACTACCACTATTAATCAGTTATATATCAAATGGATTACAAATCTATTCCGTTAAGCTAACCAAACAGACTGAATAAAATAATTAGGTGGAAGTAATTAATATTAAAATTTGTTTACATCATTGTAACAAAACAATTAGCTATTGAATCACATTAAAATTATCCTAAATAGAATGATTTTATTAACAGATTACATCAAAAGTACTACTATACATTATAAGTAAGTACGGTGAGACTATAATTTATGGACAACCTTTGAGCGATACTAGACTTATCTTGATACTGTCCACTTAATAACCAGGACCAAATGAAGGTTAGAAACCTGTCTAAGAAATTAGAATTATAATTTATAGTTGATGGTTAACCTTAAGAATTGAATTTCGGGTTTTCATCACGAACTGATATCAGCTATAATACCAAGACTCTATTTAGCCAAATTGGTGAATGAATTTCGTGCCAAAATCTAAGACCTGTTATCTTATACGTGATTCCTGCGTCCATAAATTATGGTCTCGCCGTAAGTACTTCTATACAGTTAGCTATTTAAAATAATGAGTTAATTGATATAAGATATGACTTAACAGATTAATATGAAATGAAAAACAAACGATTTATAATGAATTAATATAGAATATGATTCTAGAAGAAATAATAAATTCGTAGAATAAAAGATATAAAATAGTTTTGAAGCTTAAGATCTAAAGGTAGACGAGGAGTTAGCGGATCTACATCGTCTATGATCAATTTCAGACCACATCACTAGATGATACCCCAATCACTGATTACGAGCTTTGGATATGATCCAACCAGACAGTCTTTACTTACCAACATGACAGAGACCAGTCTTCATTGGACTTCACAAAGTTTCTTTTAACCTATTCCTACATCACCCAGAACTGAGCACCAAGATATGATGTGGTTGAGCAGATTTAATATATATGTTCTAACCATATTTACTGATGAAGATTCACAACCTTATTAACCAAATTGCCATCTTTGGTTATTATACGTTAGTATTGGTCACTTCGTTGTTCCGCGATATGGTACGAATGCTTTGATAATATGTGTCATCGAAAAGTAATAGCTTATGGATCCCTAATGCTTTCAAAATATGCGTTTCATATCTATAAATTAAAAGAGAACAAACTTTTGTAAATTGTACTGATATCTCGCTCACTTTACAAGTGAAGCAAGTTGGATTTTGTAATTTTGTCAGACATCAATCTACCAGGCTTAATGAGACAGTATGAAATTTTTTCAAGTTGATGAAATTCTAAAAGTCCAATATTCAATTCATATTTGATTTGAATAAATTTAATTGAGTTTTACATATTTTAATAGAATAAAGACAATAATCAACTGTTATTCAACTTCAATATTGATTCTTCATATTTCATAAATTAAAACTTGAAAATATAACAGTAAATAGTAACTAAACACAAATTTATTCAGTACTGAAATCAATGATCCAGTACAATTTACGGTTTAAACAGTTGAGATAATTTCTTTTTAAATATATATATACATTTGTATTGAATTGATAGGCAACTGAAATTCCCCTTCATCCTTGATATTATCTTGATTTAGTACAAATCATTACCTCATAAGAATTTATTCTTAATCATTATAATTGTAAAATTATAACGTAAACTATAGTGTAAATTCTTTAAAACAACAATTAAGTTTATAAACAAAGATGGATAGTGGTTAGCAGTGGAATCCAGGACGCGCGTTTCGTCCTATTCGGGACTCGTCAGCTGGATTTACCTGCAATTGAGTTTGTCAATAATAATCATTATAACTTAAAATTGTCATAAACTCAATATGTTTAATATCATAATAACAATATCAAAAGTTAACATACAATAATCACATCTTATTCCCCTATTAAACAGACCATTTTATCAATTAAGTAATTGTATACAATTATTACAAAATTTTTACACAAAATTCAATTGAACTATATTCTAAAACGTTTACCATCAAATTAAATACTTTAATCAGTATAGTTTTATCAAAATATTTTGTTATAATGATTCACAAAACTTATAAAAGTTAAATATTATTTCAAGTATAAGATAATAATCATTTAGAGAGTTGTCTCTTTTAAAAGAAAAAAAAAAAAAAAGAAACCTATTAAATTATTATATCAGTTATAATGATTATTACATGAAGTTATTTCATGGATAATCAACATGCTTTTTAACTTTTTATCATTCCGTTTTTGGTGAGACTATAATTTATGGACAACCTTTAAAGGAATCTTAAGAAACCTTGAAAAATATTAGCCAATCACAAAACAGTTAGTATAGAGTAAAAATATATTATATAAAACAAAAGAATTAAAGTGAACACACTTCTTTTACATAGTTCAAAAACATGTCAAGGTTCGAAAGATCTCAAAAACTTTTACAGTCTTGACCACATAGCTTCAATAGTGTTTTTTTTTTTTGCGCTCCGGTTGTTGGGTCCACATAATGCTGCTTATGGATAACGACACAATGCACATAAGCAAGTCTATGTACGTATCTGTACACTCTCCATTCATCCGTATACATTGGAGTACCTGGCTGCAGCCAGTGTTACTGGTGTTTTTATTATCCAGTTCGCAACAATTGTCATAATTTGCCTTAGTCTCAATCTCGATCGAGCGGAAAAATCCTCTTCTAGCAGACTTCTTCCTACAACACATATTACATCGAAAGACAACAGAACATTAGTCTGCACAAGGTCCACAAATCATTTGATTACCACAATCACAAATAAAGGAACTTCTTAATAGTCCCATTAGTTGTCACCGCTCAACTATCACATTTTCTTTAAAATCTGCTGTGAACCAATCGTACGTGAGCATCGTGTACTAAATTAGCGTCGTGACCTTGAACTCCCTGAAATGTTTCTGATTAGATAGTCCATAAATTATAGTCTCGCCGAATCATTCAATTTACTTAAGTGAAATAAGTTCTCTAAATAATAAAGACTCAATATCTTTCATAAAATCACTTTGACAACTCATATTATTATTCTTATCATTATTATTATCATTCTTCTTCTTATTATTATTCTGTCTAATTTTCTTCATTAGCCAACAGTTTAACAAATGATCAACGGTAAATTTAATTCTAATATTTTTTATTTTCATTATTACTTCTTGTACAACTCATTGAAAATGACTGCTTTGAATTGTCCGATTGAATTCTTTCAATGAAAGTTAATACTATTATTATTATCATTAGTATTATTATTTAGTGTTATCCTTGAAAATAATTTTTATTGTTGAGCATTGCACCAGATCGTGTTATGTGTTAGTGTGTAGTAAAGCCTGTTTACTTTTTTTCCCGTTTTCATTGTCAATTGTTAAAATAAACAAACAAACAAACAAACAAACACAAACTATAGTAAATGTGTTAATTATGATTTCTTTTAATCATTTGTTCACATTTATTATTACTATTATAAATATGAATTATGATGGTTTAATGAGTAATATAAAATAAATGGTGCATCTATCTATTTGTCTACGTATTTATCTGTTCATCATACTATACAATTGATGTTATATAGGAATATTGTTCATTTTGATTGTTATTAATTATCATTGACGTTGCTAATTAGTATTTTATATTGAATCAATATGTTGCTTCATGTTATTGAAGACTGTAGCAAATAGTAATAATGATAATGATAACAACTATGGTGAAATATTATTGATTTTAGTAATTTGCTATCGAAATCCCACATTGCTTTTTGTTTGTTTTCAATGATTATTTATTGACGTTGTCAATTGTTCAACTTTAAATACTACTACTACTACTACTACTACTCACACTACTACTACTCCTACTACTACTGCTACATCGGTCAGATTATTCTTAAGCACTAAGGTTATCTTAACTTTTTAGTGTATTCTCATATTTATGTCAGTTGTCAGTTTATCAATGTTCCAGTGAATCATTGTGAGTATACGTTTGTACCAATGTATGTGTGTGTATATTTTGTGCTTGTTCATTTCACTCAAAGATATTATTGTTTCGTCTTAAATGTCTATAGTATCCATAATGTATCTAACCGGTACAAAATGTTAAGTTTAAAAAAGGGTGAATAATTTCAGTACACAAACATACCGAGCTATATTGTGTAGAATGCGATGTTATATAATTTAACAATACCTTGTTCCGTGAACTTATGCACATAAAATGTTTTGATGTAGTTCGTATTATTGTCATTATGAATGTAGACAATTACTTGTCGTGTATTATGTTTGGTTTAAATAAACAAATAAGCAACAGTTATATATCAATTCATGAGTAAATATACACAAAGTGAATCTAGTTGATCACTGATGACATGAATCATACAAAGGAAATTATTTATTTTACCTTTCACCTACTGGAAATTTATCAGTAGTATAAAGTTTTAAACAAAATATGTTGGATTCATCAGGATGATAAAAGAGTAAGCCATGATAGGAAACTTGAAAAAATATATCGAATCATTAAAAAAATATTAATGCTGGTTGGAACTGAATCAGGATTAAAAAAGGTGAGAATCGAAATGTATCGGGATTAACATAGACAATAGTACTACAATGGAATAGCTGTTTCCGTTAATTCCATTACAATTGATCGATTGATTTACTGACTGTTGAAAATCAACATTTCGAAATATAAACAATCTTTGTCTCGGTATGAGGTAGGAAATCTAAACCTTGTTCGAATGAAAAGTGTTGAGCAAACAATAATAATCTCCATCTGCTAGTATCTGTTATGAAGTGCTTTAGTTACCATTGTTATGATTAAACTGATTGGAAATTTTATAGTTTACTTATGATTTCAATAGTATATCTGTAACACCTCAATATATGAGGAGAAAAGTTCACATGCAGATATTCACTGAGATGCATATACCAAGTGTAGTCACATATAATTGATATGATAGTAGAATGTCAGAACCTGTTTATGTACACTTGATTGTTTGATTCAATTTCGCTTTTCTTACTATTCAAAATTTCATTATCTTGTTAAAGATGATCTATTTCCTAAAAGTATTACAGAAAACGCCTTGAACAATTGGATTTTCATTGATCTACTTACAAGTAATGTCTTCTGTACAGTTAGTGCCTGTATTCTGTCAAAATATTTGTTCAAACATTGATCAATATTTTTGTAAATTATTTATTGAGATATTACGTGGGTGTGATTTGTACATTAAACGCATGAAATGAATTGCAACAAAAATGTCTTATTACATCGATCCAGTTTTGATGACTGCATGTGGAGATGATAGATCTAGGAAAAAAATCTCTTTTCAAGTTAATCAAACATTTCAGTGTTAGCCGAGAAGACTAAAAGAAATATACAGGTGCATGACAGATTTTGACGAAATATATTGATGAGAACAGACAATGTATCGTGTCTCTTGATTCTTTCAATCGTGGATTAATTGTCCAGATTTTAGCTAATAAAGTGGATTTTGAATCATCATTTGTTCAGATTGTTCTAGTGATTAATTTGGAATGAAAGAAATCATATCAAAATGTTAAGTTAGCTAAAACGTTTGACTTCTGAGGACTTTCAAGAACATTTAATACAACAGAAACAGATGAGGAGCAAACACATTCCCAGTAATGGACCGTATTTTGAAACAGAAAAAAAGTGGTCGACTTCCACTAAATTCGATTGTCCCCACTTGTGTTCTCGTTCACTACACTACTACTGGTTTGTATGCTACTTATGTCGACTGACATAAGTAGTAAAGAGCATCAATCAGATGTGAAATGCCTGGCAACCGAAAATTGAAAACATCAAACTGAAGAGAACAGGGATATAAAAAGGGAGTAGTTGTAATAACAGCAGGAGTGATGGAACGATGAAATTTGAGAGACACAATTGATGGAAGATGTACAAATTGAGTACTCAATGTATGGTTTTCATACTTTATCAATAAATTAGTCTTCCTCATCTCAGTTGTTTGTTCATTATCATTGTTATTGTTCTTACGACTACTAAATCGTATAAACAATGAATCTGTTCTTGAATTCCCAATTTTAATGATTTTTTTAGTGGAATGAAGTTCGTAACTCATTCCTGATCAGATTTTCTTTTTATTTCTAATCATTTCAAGTTATTAAGATCGCTTCATCATTCCTTCTTCCTATAATCCTAAATATCAGTTGAAATTCATCTGAATATATTTGAAATTAAAACAACTTTTATCTGACTAAATAACAAATGATACATTGTATTTATGGATTTTGATTTTATCATAAAAATGGATTTAAGTGATCATTATCTGTTTTCAGTAAGAGGATTTATGGAGACTGTGGTATATTTAATAGCTGGGTTCATTAGTCGATTTAAGCTAGATCACTAATGAACACATGAAAGCCATCAGCTGTCTAGAGGTTAAGTGTTCACACGTGAGATCGAAAGTCCTAGATTCAAGTCCCAAGTGCGAGATCATGGATACGCACTGATGAGAAGTCTTATACTAGGATGAAACGACCGTCCAGTGCTTGTAGGTTTTCATTGGTGGTTTAACTTAGGTCGATTAGTAAATTGAATTGTTGAATATACTACAATCTTTACAAATACTCTTATTGATAATAATTATGTGCTGACTAGTGACTAACTTCAAGATGGATTTCCTAGAGTTCTAGTGAGAAGCCGTGACCAGTGGAGTTCAATCCGTGTCGGGTGTTATACAGTTATTCACCTCAGACAATAGACGAAGTTTTGTGCAAGATCATGGGTCGACTGACTTTAGATATCATCTGTTTACATTTAGGATTTAGTTTTTCTGCAGGCGTCTTATTTAAGTACATTACATATTGTTGTTAAATCAAAATCTAGGTGTCATATTCTTTATTAAAACAAGTAAAATGTATCCTTTATTACTTCATTTGTTTGTAAATTGTCAATTAATGTAACTAGTACACAGAAAAAATAAAGCACATAGATAGTCAATCAGTAAAAATGTACAGCAAAACACACGCGTATTGAACATTAGTAGGAGACATAACAAAATGGATAATTCTGGCCTATAAATTTACTCATAGGAGTACAATATTAATGGATTAATTTCAGATTTCACAGGATTGTGCATCAATAACGTTTAGGCTCATTTCTATATTAATACAACGGAGTCAGCATAAAATGTTTCTGTTTGTTAATTGAAATAAATTACGGATACTGTAATGTATGCTACTTATACTGAAAGATAAAAGTAGTGCATAACATCAGTCAGAAGTGGAATGTCTGGTAGCAGAAGATTGAGAAGATTAAAATGAGGAGAACAAGAATGTAAACAGAAAGCAATTCTAATAACAACAGGATTGAAAAAATCGTGAAGCATGTTAGGAGAAATCGGAGAAAGATATGCAAATACTATATTTAATGTATGGTTTTCATATTCTACTAAACTACTCTGTCGTTTTCAATTCAATAATAAATTGGTTTACGCCAGCAGGTCTCCGTTTCACTACAGTACTATCTGATCGTCCTTTTGTATCGTTGATAATAAATATCTCACTTCAAACGTGACTGAATTCAATTGGTTACGATTTCTTTCCAAAACTGACAATGAAGCCGAATAATAAATGTTCGTATTGTACAAGGGAGGGGAGTAAAAGTTCACTTAGAACTAAGAATATATCAACAAAGTCTGATTCCAAGGTTAACCTACTTGTCATCGTTTCAAGGATCAGCCGAAACATACTGTAAAGTTAAGCTATTTACATTATCAACTAAATTAAAATTAGATCGACAAAATTGGATCAACACAATGAACCTAACAAAAAATCACATTAGTTCTCTATTAATATCCATTCTGTATTTCTCTCTTATCAACACCAGTATACAAGTTGATGAATGATAAACTCATGTCTGTGTATATGATTAGTAAATATGTATGAATCAATTTCAAATAAACATCTATCTTTATATATACGTATGTATGTAGGACCAGAGGGATGCAATCTTTTCATATACCACCTACCACAGGAATTTGGCGATCCGGAATTGGCTCAGATGTTTATGCCATTTGGAACAGTAATCAGTGCTAAAGTATATGTTGATCGTGCAACAAATCAAAGTAAATGTTTTGGTAAGTTCTTTTCATTAATCTAATTAGTATTTATTTTAAAAGCTGTGGTGTTATTATTTTAATGATAATCAACTAAAGAATTTATGAAAAAAATGGTAAACAAGAGGTTCAACTTCCTTAATTTTGCCCAATTTTGATTTAAGCAGTTGAATAATATCACTAGCCCTCATTTCATAAAAAGTGTAGTTATAGGACAATTTTATAGATTTGTACTTGATAAATAAGTTACGTTATAGTTACCTCTGACCGGGTGCCCAAATTGAAGCAGGTGGTTTTACTAGGGGGCCACACACCGAGCCTTTGACCTTAATGTCTGATCCACTAGGCAGTGGAGCGATGTTAAGAGATGCAGTTTCATGGTAGCTGGTGACCAACAATTGGTTCATACTCCATTTGTTCCCTCAGGATACTGGAGCCCATATGCACCAGTGGTTAGGAATCAGGGTTTTTCATCTGCTCTAGGTGGATCTGTAGAGGTTAACTAAGTTTGTTGAGATAAATTTCCTCTATATTCGACTCCAAATAAAGATATCTCATTAACCGAGTATTTAATGCAGGCTTAATCTCCTAGTAGAATTATAGATTTACTCGAGATCATTCAAAAGCCCAAATATCAGTTATAGAGATTGTTTATTGTTAAAGCTTGGTAAAATCCGCAAACATACAGCAAGCAAGCACCGGGCGAGACAAAAATCAAAGTATGTGTGTCTGTGTTAAAAATCCATATATATTTTTGAGTATTAGTCCAGTGTAGATAAATTATTGATTATCTATTTGTCTCAACCAATGGGGAATAGAATAGGGATTGAAGTGCAGACACACGCTCAATCATACTCATATGGAAATTAACACAGTTGTGCAGACAAATAATACATTAGTGGAATGGGCTTGCTACAGACCCTCCATATCCACCAACCGCGTTAAAGCTCCGGACATTCGATTTTCATCCTCTCAATTTCGTAAACAACATCCCCCACCACGAGAAGGAGGTGAATAGGTTGTATACACGTGGCTATGTGGAAGCATTTCGAGAGGGAGAACTGACTCTCCCCACTCTTGACCGTACCAGGGCATTTGGGGGCACTACAATAACAAACTTTCTCTAATTGCGATAACAAATTATAATACTTATCCTAACATCAATGACAACGCATAGTTTATGAAATTTTGATAGGGATATAATTACCTGATTATGAGTCTTATAATGAAAAATTACTTGTTCAAAATTTAACGAAGATGGACAATCTCCAAACGCACTTGATAGATATTAAGTTGGAATTTACATGATTGGAGGTAACCGATGGAAACTCTAAATCTAAGTTTCGTATCAAATAGCCCTCATTTACAAAGCATATCATAACTATTAAGGCAATAGCTTTTCGAGCACTTACCAAACAGTATCATAGTTGCAGACAATAATAATGAGTTATTCCATCTAGATATGACCGAAACATTTTAAATGATTGCCTCTAACTACTTAACATTTAAACATGTGAAAATGCTTAGATCGGTAAGCACATTGCAAATGGAATAGTGGAATGTGATTCTTACTAAAGGTTAAACAAACACCACGTTGACCAGAGGAGGAAGAAATCAGGAAGAAGCGCTAAAAGTGGATAGGACATACATTGCGAAAATCACCCAACTGTGTCACAAGGCACGCCCTCACATGGAATCCTCAAGGCCAAAGGAAAAGAGGAAGACCAAAGAGCAACTTACGCCGAGAAATGGAGACAGACATGAGAAGAATGAACAAGAATTGGATAGAACTGGAAATGAAGGCCCAGGACAGAGTGGGTTGGAGAGTGGTAGTCGGTGGCATATGCTCCATTGGGATTAACAGACGTAAGTAAGTAAGTAAGTAAGCAAGTAACGTTGACCACTGCTCACTGATCAATAAGTGTAAATACCCGGAGTTTCCCCGAACGATGTTGCATAGTATTATATGATAAACTTAAATTCTATTAGACAATTTCATAATCTCTATATTTACTGTTTAAATGAATTTTAACTATTATAAAGTGAAATGTTTTTAAAGAATATCTTCAATTGTTTAAACATTATTTTAATTTATTCAATGATCATTATCCTTAAACAGGTTCAATGAAGCCGGAAGTAAGACTTAATCAGTAAACATAAAATTATAAATGATGCAAAAATCTATAGAGATGAATCAATATTACACATAACACCATTACATATTTGTCTCATCATAATAAACTATCATTGCTTTTTTTTGAATATTTTATTAGGTTTTGTTAGCTTTGATAATCCAACAAGTGCACAAACAGCTATACATGCAATGAATGGTTTTCAAATTGGTATGAAACGTCTTAAAGTTCAATTGAAACGTCCAAAAAGTGATTCGACAAAACCATATTGAAATAAAACTACAATAATAATAATAACATTTAGTGTTCAATATGATTTTAACTTTATTTTCTTCTCTTTTTTTTCTTTTTTTTGTTTATTCTTATCTTCTTTAGTGTCATTATTTTAAACATTCTACACTAATAACAATTTAGTATATTTATATTTACTAATTACATGTACACATCCATTTAATTGTATTCAATGTTCACTAGTTTAGAGAGAGAGAGAGAGGGATGGAGAGGAAGTGAAAATGGAAATCATGCATACATGTGAACACAAAGTAATAGACAAATATATTCATCATAAATATAATGGTAGAATGAAATCTAAAAGTGTATTCTTTTATTTTATTTTTCTTTCGAAATTCAATAGAACCTATTCATTATTTTGTCTAGTGTACATACTTGTATACACATAATTAGATTAATAGTAATGAATAAGGGATTAATTCTTTTAAGAATTACAACTCGATGAACATCTTCAGTTTAATCAAATAAACTACATTTCCAGATAATAATAATAATAATATTGAAAGTACAATAAAATATTAAAAACTGGATAACTTTTTATACTACTGATTTTGGAAAAAAGTAGTTCTAAACAAAATAAACAAATGGTCATATTTGGATGAATGAAAAACTAACATTTAATGTGATGTTCTTAGTTCTTACTAGTTTTAAAGAAGAAGGAAAGAAAACATGCAATTTTTTTGGTGGAATATTTTCTGTAATTTTATTTAATGTTGTGTAATTTGTTTCAGAAATTAATCATTTATTGTACCGCTTTGTCATCTATATCAAATCGGTATAATTCTACTAATTTTAATGTATGTATGTATGTATGCATGTATGTATGTATGTATGTATGTATGTATGTATGTATGTATGTATGTATGTATGTATGTATGTATGTATGTATGTATGTATGTATGTATGTATGTATGTATGTATGTATGTATATGTTTTGTTCACAATCATTTCTCATAATATGCTATCATAAAGTAAACGACCAAAAAAGAAGAAACTTCACTTGTTTCCTTAATCACTAGTAATTTATTTTGATCTCTATTATTTTATTCCTTAAATTGAAAATTATTTTGTTGTTACTAGTCCTCTTTGCAAACTAATATTGACCATAATCTTTGGCTAATGGTATTTCATTTCTGAAATCGATACATTTTTTGTGTTATTTATTAACCTACTTGTAAGTATGCAAATTTGTTTATCTTAAAATACTTCGCATTTATTGTGATCGATGTTTGGAGGGGATGGATGATATGCTATAACTGATGAGAAATATATACATTACTAAATGTACTGGTCCTATTGGTTGCATTATAAATATTCAAAATTGACAACAAACATTGATATACTGAAAATTTACGAAACAAATACAATAAGTAATCATCTTTTCTAATTTTATTATTTACTTATAACATTTGGAAATTAGTGAGTAGTATATGCAATCTAATATGAAAAAGAGGAGAATAATAATTTGCTTAATTGTTACTTTCCTTACTCGGAATTAAATTTTATTTTATTTTACACAACAGTAAACAAAAAATATTGTTCAAATAAAGACTACATAAATTACCCTTCAATATTAGAAATAAATACATTTGCAAAGAAGAGAATATCATAAAAATGCAGGTAAATATATGAGTTATTTCAGTCATGTAACATCTTCATACACATTTATACGTATACACTTAATGATCTCATGGCTATAAGATCATCATATTTCATCTAACTTTGAACTGGATTTCAAATATATTAATAATTCTTTGTAATTATTTGTTTATATGCAGTGTATGTGTGTGTGAAAAGAGAATGATAAAATGCTTATTTCCTTTCGTTTTTACTTTTGAACGAGACTATCTAGTAGAATTTTTTGATATCAGTATATAATTTGAAGCTTACGTGTATACCAATGTAGTTTGTTCAGTAATTTCAGTATAGTGGAAGCCAGAGCAGTCGACATCGATTCAACCCATCTTCAAAGCGAATATGATGTTAGTCTATCTCTAAAATTTCTAGTAAATGTCTAATCATTTAAAACAGCTTCGGTCTACGCTTGTTAGACCCGGATATTCAGATCTGAGGATGCTTATTGACTCAGAGGTTTCGAGGTTATTGCCTTAAAAAACTGCTCACATCTGATGTTAATACCATTTCGGTAATGACTAGGTTTGCTAGTGTTTGTTTTGACTCACTGAAGATAATTTGGTGGATGTCATCATTAGATACATTTTATGAATATCATCCCTGTTGCTTTTTTGATAACCACTAATTATCAACCGTGGGACTGAGTGGAGAAAATATAGAGGTGTAAGTCTATGATATAGAAGCATATTATCACAGAAAGTTGTATGGCAATAGGACCTGTCGATCCACATAGATCTTCCGACTGGGTACCTAGATTTCATACAACCTAGTAAATTGAGTTATTATTAGAACTGGTCCAGAGCAGGATCCAGTAGAGAATTCTTATAGTTGTGTCCAAGATTGATATAAGTTATAATAGTCCTTTAAACGGGAAAATAATCTTTATTGGCTATATTTTCGACTGAATTATACCTATTCTTTGGCTGTGTGACATTTTTCTCTCTCATTTACTCATGATATTCCCACTCCATTTTTTCCGGTTCCTTGCTGTATATAAATGTTTACATATTCACAAAGCATCCAGTGAATACTCAAGTTGAGTTCATTGCTGAAACATTAGATCCACTTAGAAAAGAGCTAATACTTTCCGTAACCTAACTTCTTTCATAAGAAACCCTCATTATTCCCTTAAAATCTCCAGGAATATAGTTTTGTTCATAATTAACCTTTGTAGATCAAGTCACTCACTTATTAGAAAGACCATGATCACCTTTACAATGCAAATTTATACAGTGAAATAATGGTAAATAAAATGCTAAAATTTCTTTTAAAACATAAGAAATTTGTTTTTAGATTGTTTACAAAGATGAATTTAGTTTATCCAAATTTCTACTTAAACAGAAGTAAAAATATGAGTATTATCATGCACGATCATGTTTGCTAAATAAAAACTGGTGGTAGCAATCAATATACAAAATGGAAATGGTTACTAGTTGAGAAATGAAAGTAATAAACGATACAACAACAATGTTTTAGAAGCGAAAAGAAAACAAAGAAACAAGGCAAACATGTTACGTTATGTGAGATTGTACCGTTTACATTTGACTGATCACCAAGCGGTGACCAATATAATGTTTGCTTTTAACGCTGATTGAATTTTATGGATTAATTTACAACGTGGATTCTAGTCTAAGTGACTGGACATCGTGTGCACCATAATCCTGATGTTACATGGTTCGATGTAATTATTGCGAATCTATAAGACTGAGTTTAGTGCTGGTTGGGACTCATCAGCAAGGTATACTGATATCTTGAGGTAACTAATAACCTTAGTCTCTGACCGTAATACTGGATGATGTTGGTTTGAATCTGACGATTATATAATAGGATAGTTCTGTCAAGATTGCTAGTACAAACTGGAGATAAATCCGAATTAGTATGGTTTTTTTAGCTGCGTTTATTCACATATCTTTCAACGTAAGTTCAAATTTGACAAACATAAGAACTTTCCAATTAAAACATAGCTCAATTATATTGGTTGTTTGAATCTTCCCATTTTTGTTTAGGACTGCAATTGATCAGTCTGTTTATGACATGCATGTATCCTATGCGGATTACCTCGGTATTGCCAATAAGTCACAAGCACTTCAAACCCTATTAACTATTATTCGCCTCTGCCTAAAATACTTGTGACTTAATGGTAATATCGAGGTGATCCTCACAGGTTCCACATATACCGGAAATTCACCCTATTGAATAAGCCAGTAGTTATATGAACTCAGATGTTCAGTTGATGATGTGATGACATTTGGAGTAGATTGTACTTGGTTGAAGTCCCGGAGTGAACACCATTCATGGGATGAAGGTCCATCCAGAGGACAAGTTTCAAATAGGACAAAACACGCGTCCTGGATTTCATCACTAGACACTATCCATCTCTGTTTAAAATTGAAAAAGAGTTTACTTTGTATGAATCTATAGAAGCTCACGTACATTTGATTTTGTTCTCATCTTTTCAAATTCAGTCCACTATTAGTTATCTGCTTAGTAATTCAGTTATCGGAAAATACAAGCAATCATGAAATGAGAAGGATGTTTTGTTCCGGCAGTCCATTAATCTTACGGTGTTTACGTTTCTCAATGAAATGGCAGATTCACTTTCACTTAGCTGTTTTTGCTAAATGTTATCTTTATAAAAATGTTTCATCAAAGTTTTAGTAGCTAAGTATATGCCCATCAACTTTTATGTCAGTAAACTGGTAAACCTTAACATTTCTCACATTAAACATGAGCTTATTTATCTGTACACTATCTAAAGACGATAAAGAAATATCGTTATACACATGAATTAACTGTAGGAATTCTCTTAAAGCTTTTAAATACTCTGGGTATGACAAATTTTCAGTTATCTTACAATATTTCGGTTTGATCAAATATAACTTGTATTTAGAATGTGTCTTTTCTACAGTTCTCTAGATTATAATTTATTCATACTAAACTAAAAACCCCGCCTGAAGTCCTTCTGGGGCTACTGCTGGTCCCAAGTTCGAATAAAGGAGGAGGGTTAGGCATGGGGTTAGCGACTTCATCCTGTAGAAAACCAACTCACTAATAAAACGATAACCAGAAAGAATAATTCAAACCATTTAAACTCTGCCCTGGGAGTTAGAAGGTCTTCATTTAGACGAGTTGTGACGCCTCATGGTGAAAGCCGAGTGCCTTCGGAAGTCACGAGGCTGATGACCCTTCTGACAACAAGAGAAACCATTAATTTAGGTAGATGAAATTCTCGTACAATGTAGGAGACCGGGAGAGCTATCCAAATTTCTGCATGTTAAACTATCCGCCAATCTAAACTAAATTCATTAGAAATATATAGTATTTCAAGGACTTAATATTTTATTTCCTTTAACAGATATTTACAGTAATACTAGCTATTCCATGCAACATGAAGAAACAACAAGGAAGTTTTCTGCGAAAGAAACCTGATTATATCATAAAATCATCATCATAAGAGTCAGTATATTTGTGCCTTCGAGAAATATCAGTAAATATTGAAATTTTTATTTGTTTTCTATCTGCGTTACAACTCCAAAGAATAATGGTAAATCCTCAACAGATAAGCCCATTCACTGTAGTCTTTATAAACGAAGATTTGAATTTTAATGACAGTATTTATAATAAGCCTAAAATGCTTCAACCAACCATAAGAAATGAAGAAATTGAACATTACATTTTAGGTAACAGTTAACTCTAGGACGCAGGTATACGATGACGTCCTGTTTGGAAATTGCCAGTTTAATGTCCACACTTTCGCGTACGCAATTAATATTCTATATAGAGAATAGAAAATATCATCATCTTGGGATCATTTAGTCCTTAAATGAACTCAGTAGATTATTGGTTACTATATCAAGACTTGAATTTATGGGTATGGAGTTCAAATCTCAGTGTGAGTACACCCAGAATGAAATATATATCATAGATTCCACCATTATACACAAGAGAACAATGGGAAATATTTTGGGATACGTTCAATGACCTTGTTTGCTATTAGTAATTAATCAAACAGTGAGTAAAATGTAAACAAATGGTAGTAAACTGGGTACTAAAATGAATGACCATATGACTAGAATCATGAAGACTTTAATAATATAACTCATGAAGAACGTTAGAAACTGTTATAATTAGAGCACTTGATTACAGCAATTACAATCGTCGAATGATAATAAACTTATTTCCATTTCCTAAAATTATTCAGTACCTTAAACGGGACAGTCATGAACACGTCTAACTTATCCCAATCTTAGCAAACATGAAAGCATCTTCCAACCTATTCATAGTTATTGAAATTATCGGACTGAAATAATTGTCTACTATCCAAATATCTATCGAATATATATAAAGTGTAAACTTTAGAATTTCAGACAACCGAGATGAAAATGAATCTGTCAACTGGAAAAAAAACATCTTTTACACTATTCATGACTATTCATTACTATACCGGTAGCGTTCAACGGTTTTTATACAGTTTTGTATGTATACACATTCTACGACATAATTACGGATTATTTTAAATGTAAAAATCCGCTTAGTAAGAATGTGAAATTTTTCACTATCAAGATTCTAGGTGACAAATCTCTATTACCATATGTTCAACCTGAGCAAATGAACTTGACAAAATGTTAAGTCAAAAGTTTTGGTACATCCATTATGTATACGTCACATGGTCTCAGTAGCTCAATAGATAATGCTTTAGAAATGAGAAGTGCTAAGTTTGAGCCTCAATATGAATATGAATACGGTAGGTAGATCGTAAGCTGACGGATCCCAAACTGAAGAACACCTATGCCCTGGAATCCATTGTCAATCACACACCATGTATATTAAAAATATGCTTAGTAGTAAAAAAAAACCCAACTCACAGTTGATAGGATCTATACTCAAACAATGTGATACTTACTCCAATCAGGTTCACTGTATAGTATCCCTAATACTTAAAAACACATAAATTATGATTCAAGGCAAACGATATAAATCTGCACTTAGTTACTGTAATATAATCAACTAGAAAAAGTTAATTGTAGAATACTTGAACAAAAGACTTTAAATTTAAAGTTTGACCAGTTTGCATACATTTACTTAATGTCATTATAGAAATCTTTAATAAATTCACATTATATAACTGTCAATATATTCCTATTTATTATTTCTCTATGAAAAAGAGTTACATATTATCAATACTCAATGTTCTATATAATGTCAAATGATTCCTTATAATTCTGTAAGAAATTTTTGTCAATTATTGATTTGTTTCTCTTATTGATTTTCATGAATCGGTTGTCATAACCAAATTAAAATGTTGAATACATTCAGTATAAATAGTCTCTAATCTAATCTGATATTTATATAATTTTTGTGAGATTTTCTTTTGTGATCAAGTGAGTTCAATTGGGATAATGTAAATTTATAAAAAAATTATTTCTTCGTATAATAGTAATGGTAGGTTCACTGGACAAAAAACGGAGTTTTGCATTATGCAAAAAAATATCTTACAACTACCTTCATATACTGATTTATCATTGCTGTTTGGTATTCTTTGTTTGACATTGGTTGTCCAGTTATTTAAGAAAATACCAATTCTCCATATCATCAAAACTCTTTTAGGGATTTCCGAGATATGTTCCATTCATGGTAGGACTATTTATTTTGTGGTTTTCGGAGTTGGTTTTGCAATGGCCGGTCAATTCATTAGTAATATTTTTATGAAGCTTCTGAGGTAACTATTTTGAAGAAAAACAATCAGAAGATGGGTTTCTTTAGTTTTAGCACAGTGAGAGTGCTGGGTTGAGTTTTGGCACTTCTGAACGTGCCGTTACACAACTCTCCTTGTGAGGTTGTACGGTTGTCTTTACCATGATAAGATATTCGATCTGTGACTTGTATTTCCGTTTCCTTGTTCATTGAGCACTCTTGTGTTTGAAGCGTTTATTAGAACAACTAGAAAGAAATTTTGTTTCCTTACTACTCCTTTTTTGTAAATTCGACACTATTAATCCAGTTGATTTCTTTCGACAATGATAAATGCATCGTTTGTAGCTGAATTTCATTTAAATTACCAGTTCTCATTTCAAGAATAAGTTTTTGAAAACATTCATGAAAAACTGACATATTTTATGGATGAAATTAATTGGTTAGAATCATATGTGTGGTTGATTGGTTGTTACTAGTTGTTTAATAGTTGAAATCATGAGTCAACTGAAGCTAGACCACCATGGAAAACCTGGAAGCAATGGACGGCCTTTTCGTCTTACAGTAGGACTCCTCAGAAGTGCACATCCACGGGTCTGTTGTGAGATAGTAACTCACTGAAGACAATGATGCACGGTGGCTCAATTTCTTGGATTGGTTGAAGTTAGACGTTAACTCCATTGGATGCCAGGTCAGTGGTCTAATGTGAAGCGTTCGCGTGCGAGACTGATAGGTTGTGGGTTGGAATCTCACGAGGTGAGATGGTGGATGCGCACTGCTGAGGAGTCTCACAGTAAGTCGAAATGGTCGTATAGTGCTTCCAGGTCTTCCATTGTGGTCTAGCTTCACTGGAGTCATGAATTCAACTATAGAATAGAAATAGTCTTTATCGAGAGTTATACAGAATGACTTGATATTTCAGTCAGTTTACACTTTTGTTTACTTACTACACTATCACCTTGATCTGATCGATTTCGAATTTCGTTAATAAAATCAAAAGACGTAGGTTATCAGAATTACGTGATATATTTGCACAATATATTTCGAATAATCTAATCACATACATATAGTTGTTATGACATTTTTATATGAAAACTAGAAAAAGTCCATTAGACCAATTAAGGGTAAACCGTAACAAAAAAAGTTACACAAAAACAATGTGATAACCACTCTGGATAATAAATCAATATTTTCAATTTCATATTAATGCTCCCAATCGGATACTAGTCTACATCCATAAAACGTGCATACATATGCACGCACACGCACTCTCACAACAAAGTTAGCGAAATATTATCCAAAATGAATAAATCATTACATGTGATCGATGTTTAAAATATTTCAGAATAAACTATACCAAACAGCCAACCTTGAAAAACTGGCCTTGAATTCTTTAAAATACTGCATAGCTAGTAGCATATATGGATGCATGTAAAGATTTTTTTTGTTTTAGAAATTCTTCAAGGTTTACACTTAATTTCTTTTTGTTATTGAGTATTTTTGTCACGGGAACTTATCTGTCAGTATGGAACAAGTTCTTTATGAATACATCTATATATATCCCCTCCCTCTAATTATCGCGGTTTGTTAACGAGTTAACAATAACACAATATTCTTATCTGTTCAAGTGCCTACAAATAGTGTATTGCCTGTTATTTACCAATTTTTATATTCATGATTTACCACAGAAATTTCCTTCGAGCTAATGATTAAATATTTTCTTCAAGAAAATAATCTGTTTATAGTTACTTATTAAATAAGGGGTCCGACAATAGAACGAAACGATCGTTCAATGCTTCCAGATTTTCCATGGTGGTCTAGCTTCAGTTGACTCATCATCTCAACAATTAAAATGAGTAATAGTAGTTATTAATTTCAATATCTCTTGCCAAAAATCTCGATAGTGATTATTTCAATAGTAGAGGAAAATTTAAGTAGTTTTACGCAGATATTTTAAAAATTACTCCTTTATCTCTATCTGAAAAATCCTCATGTTTTTCTCACTGAAATCAAGTTAATCCAATGGAATAAAGAAAAAATCTTATTTCATTGATAAGATTGTTGCATTTTATTGTGAACTTATGTAATAATTCAACTTTATTTAAACAGTTTTATTACCCATTTGAGTTGACTAATACCTATCAGTTTGGATACAGCCGATATTTTAAGCCTATTATACTAGAAGATTAAAGTAGGGGATACATTGTAAAGAAAACGTATATACATAAGGGGGGTTCCTATATAACTGTGGTGTATCATAATGTTACACCAGTGATTGTTAACAAATATCATGAATTTAGAATATCCCTTAACACACAATTCTATTTATTAACTTTCATTTCCATAGATGTATTCATTAATCCATTAAACGGCCTAATAAAACTTATATATTATTTTAATAGTTGAAATCATGAGTCACTTAAAGCTAGGCCACCATGGAAAACCTGGAATCAGGCCGTTTCGTCCTAGTATGAGACTCCTCAGCAGTGCATATCCACGATCCCGCCCTACGGGATTCGAACCCAGGACCTATTGGACTCACAATGGGACAAAACGGTCGTCCAGTTCTTGCAGATTTTCCACGGTGGTTTATCTTCAATTGAATCATGATCTCAACTATTAAATTACTATAAGATCCAAAAAAGTCCTTTCTTTTATTACTGTTTGAAATTTTTGTGTCAGTTTTTTATATAACACAATTTTTCGTCCTTTTTTCTGAATAAATAGTCATAATAAACTTTGAATAGAAATGAATTTCATCTCTACTAGTCTATTGCTATTTTTATCGATTGGATCATTATTAATTATGCCAGTGGTAATTACCGAATTCAGTAATCTTTATATTCCAATTGAATTTAATGAAAATAGTAAGTTTATATCTAAATGAAACTGAATTATGCAAACAATATTAGGATTCTTACAATGAAATATATGCCATCCTATATCATCTTTTCACACTCATGGTCTGTCTAAGTCTTTATTCATCTGATATTCAAAGAGTTAGCTATTTCCATGAGCTTTTATCACTTGTACATCCAACCACAACCGAATGTGAGTTTTTAACCTGTAATTTGGCTATCACTATAGATTATCTCTATTCAATGGACAATATCCCCAGTAATTTCATCTGATTACCCAAAATCTGATCCAGAGGCGTCAGTGAAACAATGTAGTGACAAGAAAATGTAAAACGAGATAATTGAAACGCTTGACTTTTAGGACTTCTACAGATATTTTCAACAATAAAGATGAAGATGCAATGTGTCAGCTGTTAAATTCGGTACAGTAAGGTCTACGATTGATTAGTGTACACTAAATTTTGTAACCTGTTAAGTTTTGGTGAACTACTTCAAACTCCTAATTCAAGCATAAAAATAATTCCAATTCATGTTGATATATATGCGTGCATCTGTTCACTTGAGATGGCTACATTTGATAATCAATGCATTAATTTGTTGACTCAAGTCAAACTTTCGGAATAGCATTTTGTTTCATTCTCCCGTATAATAGTTATATCTGCAGTGAGTTTCAAACTTATTCTGAATTCCTTGGTCTCTTCGTGTCGGTAACTAATAAATTGAATAATTATCAAGTACTCAATTGATTTAATGGAATACAGATGCCTTTTTCTATACTTTATCTGTCTATCAGTATGTAAAATTTACATGCTTCATTGTATTCTACTTGTAAATAAACCCTAATGAGACTTGTCTTAGATCCCTGCCTATCATATTGTTATTAAATTATTGGATAAGAGAGATTCCATAATTGTTGCTAACTAAGTCGAATGAATTTCTAATAATATTCAAACTTCATGACAAATATTGTTTAACTGTGCCAATGTGATATGTTGATTACTCCTTGTTACCACAAGTAAACTCTCTAACAACTTGTTCAACGGATTATTTTAAAGGCTGATCATAGTACTACATATTTCTGCTTACAGTCACTTATTATTATTTAATGGAAAGAAACTATGTTTAAACGGTTTTGGAACTGAATTTAGATTGATAAGTACTTTAGTGTCAAAAGCTTCAAATATTCCAGAAGTAGCGAATGTCTGTCCTTTAATGAACAATCATTTGATGAACGAAATTAACCATTTGGTATTGATCACCTTAAAGATCCTATTATCAGTTCACTTATTTGGAATCATTTAACTTGTCAACAGATATTCTACTTAGAACTTTATCGTGTGTTTTAATAAAATGTCTCATGTAGTATATCCTGTCCATATACATATCCTGTCCACGCTAAAGCTGGAGATCATATATCTACTGTTAGATATATTTCAGATAATCTGTTTTATGGAGATTTTAACTTTGCGTTTATTCATTTTAAAAAATTCAGATCAAATGTACCTTCGGATGGAACAACTCAAGTTTGTATTGGATAAGGACGATCAGTTGACAGTTAAAGATGGTGATTGTGTAACAACAGTGGATTTGGCAGCACCGAATGCCAAAGAAGTTAAAGCTCATAAAGCATTTAGGCAAGTGACAAGGTCAGTCTTGCTGGACAATATTATTTCATACAGAGATAAGCTATTTAAATATTTAAGTAGATTTAGTTATCTCCATCTTCCCTTGAACTCCTGTTTACTGTCTTATTCGGTTGACCTCGTAGTACTTAACTGACTGATATTCTCCATAAGCATTGACAGTCTAGATCTATACCAGTACGTTTACCGATTACCGACTGATCTCCATGTCATGCTCCTTACCGTTTTTGGAATTGTTCGAATTTCGTCGATACAGAATTTTGACATTAACCGAAATGAATTTGTGTTCATAGTTGTCTGCATACATTAATATTAATGATGATACATCATGTTGTTTCACTGCTTCTTTACATCCATGTATGTTTAGGTAAAGAGGAAGGGACCACGTTATTTAAGAAAATACCAATTCTCCATATCATCAAAACTCTTTTAGGGATTTCCGAGATATGTTCCATTCATGGTAGGACTATTTATTTTGTGGTTTTCGGAGTTGGTTTTGCAATGGCCGGTCAATTCATTAGTAATATTTTTATGAAGCTTCTGAGGTAACTATTTTGAAGAAAAACAATCAGAAGATGGGTTTCTTTAGTTTTAGCACAGTGAGAGTGCTGGGTTGAGTTTTGGCACTTCTGAACGTGCCGTTACACAACTCTCCTTGTGAGGTTGTACGGTTGTCTTTACCATGATAAGATATTCGATCTGTGACTTGTATTTCCGTTTCCTTGTTCATTGAGCACTCTTGTGTTTGAAGCGTTTATTAGAACAACTAGAAAGAAATTTTGTTTCCTTACTACTCCTTTTTTGTAAATTCGACACTATTAATCCAGTTGATTTCTTTCGACAATGATAAATGCATCGTTTGTAGCTGAATTTCATTTAAATTACCAGTTCTCATTTCAAGAATAAGTTTTTGAAAACATTCATGAAAAACTGACATATTTTATGGATGAAATTAATTGGTTAGAATCATATGTGTGGTTGATTGGTTGTTACTAGTTGTTTAATAGTTGAAATCATGAGTCAACTGAAGCTAGACCACCATGGAAAACCTGGAAGCAATGGACGGCCTTTTCGTCTTACAGTAGGACTCCTCAGAAGTGCACATCCACGGGTCTGTTGTGAGATAGTAACTCACTGAAGACAATGATGCACGGTGGCTCAATTTCGTGGATTGGTTGAAGTTAGACATTAACTCCATTGGATGCCAGGTCAGTGGTCTAATGTGAAGCGTTCGCGTGCGAGAGTGATAGGTTGTGTGTTGGAATCTCACGAGGTGAGATGGTGGATGCGCACTGCTGAGGAGTCTCACAGTAAGTCGAAATGGTCGTATAGTGCTTCCAGGTCTTCCATTGTGGTCTAATTTCAACTGACTTATGAGCTAAACTATTAGATTATTATTAGTTGAACTTCTATAAATCTGAAAATCGATTCCAATCGCATATGCAGATTTACTCCACGAATAATTCCATCGATATCTCTGAATTGCACGTTACAGTATAAATGTTATAATCACACAATAATAACAAATTTTTGAGTAGTACGATTTCACATCTTCTTAAAAAAAATTATTAGTTCCATCAAAGCCGAAGATCTATCGGTCTAATAAACGCTAATAATCACAAAATAATTTTCAGAAATTTTTTCGATTGATTTTAGGATTGAATTATTTCGTAAAAGTTCTGGTATTTAAATTAACATTTTCAGTTTACATTGAGAAATAATGAAGATATCAGTAAGCTGTAGAGAAAAAGATTAAAGTTTCATATCCCAGAGTTTTATAGCAATTAAATAGGACAACAGATTATCTTCAAAATTTCAAAAGATAAGCATGCTGTTAAGTTTCATGATTCTGTTATAACTTGTGGCCTTGAGTCCTAATAATATATAACGTAATGATACCACCAACTGGAGAACAGTGAATTATCGACTGGACCAATGACGCATAAAAACCCGTACGAGAAGTCTAGAGTACTTATCGGTCCTGCTTCCCACCTAGCCTTACCTGTTAAATCCAGAACACCAATCTCAGCCTCTGTAATATGAATAATTTATTTCATAATAAGAGGGACATGAATATGTATAGTTTATTGATTTAACAATAATGTAATAAAAATACACATAAAGTATTAGTCCAGAAATAGATTCCAACAGTTACCATTCATTATTCTCATTGGGATATAACACCTCCTTTTTTTGAAGAGATTCTTTGCTTAAATTTATTTCTGTTTTTATGAAAATTCCATTTTTAGAATATGTACATCATGGTATAGCAAAAACGTGGCAAAAAAGTCTAATTCAACCGTTAAAAAGTAGTACATTTTGCTAAAATGTGAAAATTTTACTTTGCAAAAAAAATTTCAATAAAACTGATTATTGATTGTATGTTTTTAACTTTTATTCATCTTGTTTTGTATTATTGATTAATGATTAGCATTATAGATTGATAAAGATTCTTCAGTTTCATTTAGACCATGAACCGACCAATGTAAGATCATTATTGAGAAGCTTGAAACTGTTTCGTCCTAGTATGAGATTTTTAAGCATTGTGTTGTATAACGTCAGTGATTGACTATTAGCAGGAAAAGTTTAATTGATTACTTTGAATGCAATTTTATATATAAGACCAATGGAATAAATGTGACGAGAACAAAAGCCGTGATACCTGTAGTAATAATAAAATATCACTAATCGAATTATAACACTTGCGACATATGGAAAATATTCATATGTATACTAGAGTGCTGCATTAGTCATTCTTGTGATTCTAGGGTAAAATAATTTATTTAACTGTCATATTTTTATATACTAGTTATACTAGCAGTACCAACCAGAGCAACACTGTCTAGTCTTTAAATTCTATCAACCAAAAGACAACTCAATCTCAAGGTTAGATGAGCTTGAAAACTTGGTGAAGTTTGTTTGATGTCAGATGATTGTGACTAATCGACAGAAAGCCTTGTACTTGAGTTTCTTGCCACATATAAGCATAATGTATCGACAGTGATATAGACAATTATCCTACATTCAACTCGACTACAAATGGATGACAATAGGGATTTAATTATTTGTAGGTATCAGTTGATAATGAATTGAGTAATTTTATCAAGAATTACTAGGTAAAACCTGTTAATCAAAAGTTGTATCGTACAGTAAATAGCCATACATTTGATCAAGTCTAGTCAAAATAACTACCATAATAACAATTCTATTTGATGCCAGATGTATTTCAAAATAAGAGGAATGTAGGGATTTATCAATTCTTGTTTAATTATCACTAAAAATGTACCGACTAACTCAAGATACAACATTTTGATTAGAAAAATGGAATGATAAACTTAAATTAGTATTATTGTTATAAATATGGCAAATGTTGGATATCATATTGTGTTGTGTGCTACTGATGTCGATAGATATAAGTGGTATATATCATTAATCAAAAGTGAAGTATTCCATAGCAGAAGGTTAAGGTGGAAGAAAAATGAACGAGAACAGAGAATGATTGTTGTGGAAGTGAAGGAACAGTGAATTCTGAGTCGATTGATTGACATTTGAAAAATAAACAGTCATATGTGAGACAGTTGATCGACATTTTGCAAATTCAGTATTTACTGTATGGTTCTCAGATCTTACGAAGATATTCTGCGATTTCATGTTCAACTACATTCTATTGTCCCTACTTGTGTTTTCGTTTGCAAAAATATCACTACCGATAATAATAATAATAGGATTCATAATAATCCATCTATTGAGTACAATACATCTGATTGCAATAAAGAATTTTCATCAAAAAGATATGCAACATATAGCAACAGATATCCTTTTACCTTATGATCACCTAAAAAAGTTACATGCTAAAACGTCTTTTACTAATGATAATCTGTTATCTATATATAATCATAGACGTATACGTTCAGTTCTCATCCATGCAAGTGTTTTATACTATTCACGTCACACTAATATCCATATATATGAATTCTAATATAAAAGTCTTTTGTTATGTTCTAAGGATACGAATTGCTTAAGCGTTTATGCCTAATTTTACCCGTATTTGACATCATAAAAATTTGTAAGAGTTTTATGAAATGACTTAAAGTTAACATACATGATTGATTTATTAAAAACTACTTTAAATGGAACATGCTTTGGAATATATGAATATGTAATCTACACTAAGGCATGAACAGACAGCAATGATTGCAAAAATTAAGTGGAATTATGTAAAATGTGAGTAGTAACAATTAAAACTTACTTAATGAACACATCACAATTCTGACTGCTTTACCTAACTAAGTAATGATTATAGTAGAATAAATGAGAGTTGGAAATGTCTACCTTTAGATTCTGTCTCAATCATATGTAATGTCTTCGTTCTAAAATCGAAATATGATATCTTCATTTATGTATGGAGTTGATGGTTTACATTGGAGAACAGATGAATACCAGATTATTTCTGGTTTCTGATGGGAAACTAAATTCATACATTTTTTTAATGAAACACTATTGATTAAAGTGCTTATACTGTCGAGAACATGCTGCAATTTTAACAGCCAACATTAGGATTTAATTCAGCTGTCGAGTTTCGTGTAAAAATGCAGAGATAAGAAGAATTGAATTATCGTAAGTTATATTGATGTTATACAAAATAAAATAAGGACTAGGTATTTTCCGATGATGAATTACGATATGCCCAGTTATGCAGTGAGTTGTCAATAGCTGTCGTAAACCTATGCAAGCCATATCAATGATTAGATATAACTCATGTTACTTTTAATTAGTAAGTAGTATAACATTAATTAAGAAAGGAATAAGTATCATCCTTGTCTGCTATCAAAGACATTTATTATTTAGTTTATTGCAAATGGTGGTACAATTGAAAACTTATTAAAAACATTGAAGCGTATGTAAAATGAGGAACGTCAAGTACAGAGTCATGATGTCTAAATATTAACATAAATTACGTGTGGTATAAACAGAGTGATTAGAGACTACTTGTTATGATTAGAATACATATACTAAGCTTCAGATATCAGTCGTCGTGCACACCAAGGGATTTGGAGCACGCTTCAAACATGGTTGGTGTTCCTTCAAACCCATATTCAGTTGTCTGGGTGCTTCATACACACAAACTGCAATGGATTTTTCACATTTAAATTCACAGACAAAGCCCTGTTGTTATTCCCTTGGTAACATATCCAAAAATTTAAATAAAACTTGCCTAACAGAATCACTGGTTAAGAAATAAGCTGACATACCACGATCACTTAGAATCCTCTTGGTTGCCCTCGATGGTTCAATACGGCATAAGGTGATGGTTGTGTTCTTTTTTTCTCTCAGTATTCTCTAATTCGTTTTTCGTCCTAAAATAATTTTAGATGATGAGTAGTCCTAAGTTCATGCATCATTAAATCTAACTTAATCTGGTGTTCATTTTCTGTAGTGAAATTACAACTGTCAAATAAGCTTTTTACAGCTGAGACCCTCGTAGAACAACCATCTGCCAACCTGTAATTTGAATATCTCTCAAAGTGTGTTGAATTCCGGAAAACACCAATTTCCATATTATTACTATGATTTATTTCAGCCAAACAATTGAAAAATTCTAGTTTGTGGTTAGTATGTTCTATCTCCTTGATTAGACTAATACAATTCGATACTTGATTAATAGTTTTAATTTCACTGAAAAGAAAGCATACCATCAGATTAAGTAAAATGTAATCTTGTCTAACAATCATCCCAAAAAGTATTTCAAGTAGACTGTTAGAAATCTAAAATAAAAAGAAACCACAGTGCATACAGCTTGTCCGCCTTTATCAGTGTTCGAACTTACTGTTAATTTTTTGGAGAATCCCAAACAAACATAAAGAACTTTTATCCACTGGAAACTACTCAGGTATCAAACGGTTATCATGTTCCGTAATCTGATGAGTCAATTGCCAAAATTATCACCAATGTAAGTTACTTTCCTAGAAGATCCTAGAATCTCAAGTCCATTCGTTGACTTAGAAATACAAATTGTTGTCAATAATTGAACTAAACTTGGTGATGAAACCTACCTCACATTTCTAGTAACTTTGAGATTTAAGAGCTGAATATTATGAGGACTGAGAAATGGACTTAGAAGCAAGTACGATATACAAGGCCTAACAACTGGATGAATCAATTATCGAACACATATTTTTTAAAATTAGACACTAGCGAGTAAAACATAATGTGATGCCAACTTAGTGTAAATCGTCCTGGTATTGAAAAGTAACATAACAGTATATTTCAGTGTATTATGATGGGTTCTATGAAAAGAATAAACTTGATTTAATATTACGTCTAAATGTTTTTGTTTGAAGTATTTTACAATTTAACAGTTACCAACTACTTCAATGTATGTTATTTATAGGGCGGATGTAGGAAAATGAACGAGGTATTTCAATTACGATAACTTTTGTACGCGGATTCCACGAGAAGTTGTGGATTGAATATCTCAGCGATAACGTCTCTGATTGATAACAGATGGTGTGGATTTGAATGTCATTGAGAGCACATGTTCTTATCAGAGAAGTATCGACTAGCACGTGCTAAGGACTTTCTGGTGATCATCATTAATCATCAGCCTAAATTAAAACATTACAATCGTGCCGACTACCACTAGTGTATCCAACCAGTGGTGGTGTTCCAGCCATTTAAAGTTGGCTGAGCCTTATTTGGTAAAGCCTAAGTGACCTTTCTGAAATTGTTTTCTATGTTTCAAGGCTTGTAAACTCACAGCATGGGTGTGATTTCGTAGGGAAATCGATACCTCCGGGTCTTGGTGCGCGAGTGCTGCACCATGAAGCAAGTATATGTTACGAAATGCATACTGGTAACACATACATTTCCACATATGCATCCCACAGCATACATGTATGTATCTTCACTCACCTGGGAGTGTAGATGGTCATAGCTCCTTTCGAACATATTTACTACAACTGACTATCTCTTACTCATTACATGAATACAACTGGTATATAAATTTCGTCCATGCACTTCACGACATACATATGCATAAGGATTATCAGGGAGGATTGATGGTCACCATCCATTAGTATTTGCTACCATATCTTGTTATTACGCTTTCGACCTGATGGTTTGAACCTCTGATTCTATAGGCATAAGGCAGACATTTTAGCTTACTTTCTTCTTGCAGACAAAGAGCGTATTCTTTGAATATACCTAGATACACCACAACACAAGTCAAGACTCATGCAATTCATAAACATGAGCACAAATATCGGGCAGCCCGCAAGATTTCTAATCACGTGTCCCCATACATTTCCCTATAGTGTTTACAACTTATCTAATTATTGAAAGCCTTAAGAAGTGCCAACACCTTGGTTCATGTATACATATATTTCTCTTATTGAGAAACGGGAACCGATTGCTATATAATTTATACATTAAATGTAAAAAAGTGATGTCATGGGAGTAGGACTGATCGTAAACATTAATAGTTGAATATCAATTCTAGATAATCACAGAATCTCTTAGTAAAATGTGGGAACCATACAATAAGCTTTCCATTTGCAAAATGTCAACCAATTGTATCAAACTTGACTGATTCTTTTTTTTCACACTAATCACTGTCTTTTCTCGTTCTCTTCTATTCGATCTACTTAACCTTCGAT